TTGCGTATTTCATAATCCTAAACGACGTATATTGCGGAATATGGTGCGCTGAGCCTCCATTGGTGTCGTATCTGGCGTGTTTACTCTTGACCGTGTTTCTTACCTATATGACTGGCGCCTTCTTATTTGCGCAGAGGTGGCTGGGATCTCTGGAGAGATGAAACTGCCGAGCAGTGAAAACTCGTGCCTTGCGGATGTTGACAGAGATTTCGGCCCGCTGCACTGCGCGGCCCGCCATGCGTCGATGATCGTGGAGGTCACCAGCCACAGACAGCTTGAGGGGATAGAGGGTTTGATTCGCTGGGACAAGGTGGTAGCGCGTGCCACATCAGGTACTGGATGCTGCTCGTATGCGCCGCCAAGTGTGATCAGGAGTGGCCGCAAATTCGGTCGCCAGCGCGTAAAGTCGACATGCCCAATCACATGGGACAGCGCTCAGAGGCCCAGGGTGATGGGTATAGAGAGACCCGCCGCAGCCCAAGTCTTGGAGGGGGCCATGGTCGACAGGCTACGTAAGTCAGCAGTATCGCGTAGAAACAAGCAGGCGACAGGCGTATTTGCCGTGGTCCGTCTTTTTCTCGCATATAAACCTAGGGGTCCGGATTCATGTACCATTGATGCACCCCTCGCCCGGCAGCGTCATATGTATTGAGCCACGAGCCACGAGCCACTACCCCACCCACAGCAGCAGCCATCCACACCCACACCCTGCGCACGTCGAGCTATCCGCACCCGTAGCCAAAAATAAGTTTACGCCTGCCATCGCCGGCGATCAGGTACTGTCGCTGTAAACCCACACAGTCGCGCGCTCCACCACCATGGACGGGCGCAAGCAGGGCCGGCCGGACGAGGAGCTCTTCTTGCGATACGACAACAGCAACAACAACAACAACAACCCTGACACGCCCATCATTCCCACGGTTGGTCCTCTGAGGATACAAAAGGGTCGCGATGGCAAGAGCCCGCCCCCGCGAACAGACTCGGCCGGCAGCTCGAGCCAGCCCGCCTTCTCGCGCCCTCCGCCCATGCCCTCGTTCCCCGCGCCGCCTACAAGTCCGCCCAACGCCCCTCTTCCCTACCCCGACACGGATCGGCCGCCAAATGTACAGCCCACCCTAGGCACAGGCAGATATACGCCGCTCAGCGAGAGGGAGCGCCGTGCGAAGAATGCCACGCCCCCTGAGAGCGCCGATGGGCGAAGGAGAGGTTCCAGTGCGACAGGACCAAGTCCCACGTCGCCCAGCCAGCGCGCTCGCTTCGACGCCAACGACCCCAACCGACCGACGATAAGTGGTTATGGCGCAAGGAATCCAGATGGCTCCATCCAGCCTTCACGCCTGGCAGAGCGGAGAGGAACAGCGCCGAAGCCACTCCCAGACTCGCCAGGCCCGGAGACTCCTGACAAAGAAGGTCTGTTCCAGAAGGCGCCACAGAGAAAGGGCAGTGAAGATGTAGGCGCGAACAACCCATACCCTGAATACCACCAGCAGTACTTCCCTCCGCCCGCTGCCGGCCCCAGCGCGGCTCCTGCTGCTCCCGCTGCTCCAGTCGTATACACAGGTCCTAACCAGAATGAGCCGGTGCTCAAGGTGCCTACGCCCATGGACGTCAATCGCATGAGCTCCACTGCTTCGACGTCCACTGTAAGGGCACAGAGAGGCTCCCCACCACCCCCCGAGACACCCATTATTCCTCCCTCTGGCGGTGGCATAGAAGCGCGCTTTGCCGCAGCTGGCATTGCAGGAACCTCCACCCTCACCAACCTCCAAGCGCAAAGTGCCCAGAACGCGGCAGCTGCTCAGCGCAACCAGATCTATGCCAACCAGCAGCCCAGACCCGCTCTCTCAACCCCACAGCCGAGCCAGCAACAACCAGTGAGGAGACCATGGACACCCACCGAGCAACCTGGAGGCAATCCACATGGTCCACCGGCGGTATACCAGGGTATGGATCAGGTTCCTCCCTCGAGCACCCCTCCGCAGGGTCCTCTTCCACAGGCACCAAACACTCGATTTTCACCTCCTCCTACAAATGTTCCGCACACGAACGTACCCCCAGAACACCCACTCAATCACGAGATGGGACGTATGAACCTGAATGAAGAGCCACCACCAGCGTACTCAAGTATCACAACCCCGCCAACAGGACAAGCCAGCAGCTATCCCAACGAGAAGGGCCAACAACCAGTAGCTCAAGGCGTTAGTTTCTCTGACCCCAACCAAGGTCATCCTGCGTTTGCCAACGATACGCGCCCGCAACCTGGACCCTCACAACCTGCTACCGTGGTCGCACCAACGCCTACGCAAAACCAATTCCCTCCTCAAATACAAACTGCCCAGCCCACCCACACACCAAGTCCGGCTCCTGGTCCAGGACCCGGGCCTGCCTCGCCTCCACCGCTTCCTGAGGGCTGGATAGCACATCTGGACCCCAGCTCCGGCCAGTATTACTATATTCATTTGCCCACACAATCTACACAGTGGGAATTTCCCAAAGGCCCGACACCTTTGAACTTGAACGAGCCCATGTCTCCAACAGGTACATTCGTCGGCGGTCCTTTGGCATCTCCATCCTTTGGCAAGGCCCCTATCGCATCGCCTGGTTTTGCTCCACAAACTGCTACTTTTCCTGGAGACTTTGGCATGGCACCGCTTGCAACTCCAACCACTACCGCCGGCTTCACTGGGCCACCTCCGGTGGCTGGTGTGGATCAATACAAGGTCGCTCCTACCAATGGCGTCTACTTTGGACCCTACCTCAGATACACCAACATGGACATTGAACGGGGTCTGTGGCTAGGTTCAATCCTGCTTATCACAAACACGCCCCATCCACCTACAATTCACATTCATCAGAGCACAGATTTGTCCCCTAATCCACGACAACTCAAAGCCAATCCTATCTACACACATCAAACATGGATCTTTTATCGATATGATATCGACCTGAGGATGGAAGAAGAGCATGCAGCGAAGTGGACCTATGCCATCACTTCCCACCTGGGCTGCACTCGCTTTGAGTTCTTGGTAGCAGGACGACATGAGACAAGCTGGCGATTCATCGCTCATTCTGGCAACGACTTTGCATTGAACGTCAATGCTAACGAGAGAGCGAAGCTCGGCGGTGTGGGTCTGATGTGGAAGGATATCTTACAGAAGAATGCCGAGTGTGGTGGCTTCCATGTACAGCTGGGTCTTGGTGGCCAAATTTACGCCGACCGACTATGGAAAGAACTTCCCCTACTAAAGCAATGGACGGCGACAAGTGGGAAAGAGATCCGGAAGAATGCGCCGTGGACTGCGAAGCATGAAGAAGATGTTTGCCACGCATATTTCCATTACTACACAAGTCACTTCGATCAGCCACATTTGCGTGAAGCGTTCGCACAGATACCTCACATCCTTGCTCTGGATGACCATGACATGTAAGTGCATTTTGAGTGTGAAACAGCAAGCAGTTCTAACAATGTCTAGTTTCGATGGCTTTGGATCATACCCTGAGTACATGCAGTTCTCGAACATGTTCAAGAACATCGGAAGATTGGGTATTGAGATGTACCTGCTCTTCCAACACCACACGACGCTGGAGATCCTCCGAAATGTCAACAACGACATGGACCTTTTCACTGTTACAGGTACAGGCTGGCATTTTATCAAGTACCTGGGTCCTTGTGTCACGGTTGTTGGGCCTGATTGTCGCTCTGAACGCAACCCGCATCAAGTCATGGCAGGGCCGACGTATCAAGGTATCTTCCCTAAAGTTGCGACATTGCCGCCGAGTGTTCAGCACTGCATCTGGATGGTTCCTGTTCCTATTGTGTATCCTCGCCTGGAGTCTGTGGAACATCTCGCTCACTCAATGGCCACTGGTAAGAAAGCCGTCACTGGCACTTTCAACATGCTTGGAAAGGTGACGGCTGGTGTCGCTGGTGTCGTTGGTGCTAAGAGTGTCGTTGGCGATGGCTTCAATTCTGTCAAGAAAGCTATTGGCAAGTCCGGTCTGATGAGTGGAGTCTTGAGTCCTTTTGGAGAAATTGATCTGCTTGACGAGCTAAGAGATCAGTGGACGCACGATTCAAAAGTTGGTAGCTCCTAACTACTGTGATCCAATTTACTAACATGCCGTAGGACCTCGAACGAACGTACTTGATCCGTACACTCCAAGGTATCGCCCACAACAAGTCGTTACGGATGACGTTCTTCTCTGGTGCGGTCGACTGTTGTGGTGCTGGTCTTGTTCACGACCCGTCGAGACCTCAAGACCACAAGACAATGTACCAAATCATCTCATCATCAGTGGTCAACGGTCCGCCTGGAAACTATGTATTGCGACTACTCCATAACAACCGTGCCCTCTACGTACCCCAGAACGGACATCGCAGCAACAATCAACCAAGCGACACCAAGGAAGACATGATGGAAATCTTCACTCAAGATGTCAACGGTCAGCCACGAGAGTACAAGAGACTAATGGGAAGAAGGAACTACGTTGCATGCGTCATTTATGATCCAGAGATCGTCAATGGGACGTTTGGTCAGGCGGTCCCTGGGCACGGTAGTGGCAAGTTGAGCCTGGCAGTCGACTTTATGGTGCAAAACGATGGTGGATATAGTGCGCCCATGAAGTACGGACCAGTCATCGTGCCCAGCTTGGAGTATGGTAGATAGACGGATGGTTGATTTTCTGTTTTCTTCTTATTCAGCGATAGGATGCATAGCAAGCGTTGTATATGCTTTCAGGGTGGAATGTTGGGCGAACTCTTTCAATATGATATCAAGCAATGATGAACAGCTTTTCTATGCATTCACCAACGACACATGACCAAGCTCCTCTAATGATAATCTCAACAGAAATCTCGTAAGCTCGAACCTTTGTAGAGTCTTGGAGGCGTGGAATGGTTTTCCCAATTCGGCAATGACATCTGCAAGGCTTGGCTATGGCTATCCGCGGCCTTTGAATTCTCGACAGCGAGACGGGACCGAAACCACAACATCCACAACATGGCAGCTCCTGCAAGACAAGCGACAGCGATACCACGATTCCTTCTACCGCAGATATCATGGCACGCCAGGGTGTCACGGCCAGCAGCGCTGGGTGCACTGGAGCAGGGTCGGCATAGGTCCTGTATAGCTTCCGAGAGTCGCGCTGCCTTTCCGAAGTCATTACCACTCCAAGCACGACCACGTACACTGTGGCCAAAGACATCGCCACAATATGCAAGCGGTCATGCATCGGCTCTGGAGTTTCGGCGCAACTTCAGCGCAACTGCACAGCATTCCAAGGACCATCACTTCGACACGCTCAAGTTTGTGCAGCGATTGAAGGAGGAAGGGTTCACAGAAGAGCAAGCCGAGGGCATGATGAGGGTTCTCGGCGATGTAATCGAGGAGAGGCAAGTCACTGCACGACTTTTCAAAAAATGGCCAACTAACTTGTACAGCATCCAAAACCTCACACGCACCATGGTCCTTCGTGAAGACCAAGAGAAAGCCACCTACACGCAGAAAGTCGACTTTGCCAAACTCCGCTCCGAACTCATGACGGCCGACTCGACTGAATCCAGCCTCACGCGCGCATCGCATGAGCGTCTTACAAACGAGCTCGCAAAGCTGAATTCGCGCTTACGGGACGAGATACAACGGACACAGGCATCGGTGAGACTAGACTTGAACCTGGAGAAGGGGCGCATTAGAGAAGAGGCAAACGTGCAGGAACTGAAGCTCAAGGAGACGGAGACAAGGATTGAGCAGGAGACGGCGCAGCTGAGGGAGAGACTAGAGGCCGTCAAATTCTCAACGCTACAGTGGCTGATGGGAGTCTGCACTGGTACTGCGGCGTTGATGTTGGGTGTGTGGCGGTTGTTAATGTGAAGCACGATGCAATGGCAGTTATGAAACAGCTTCAAAGAGCTACAGAAGCTCCAGTGCACAGCCATGGCCCTGCGCCGCGCCGTAAATGTGCTACAGTACCCGTCAATGCAGTTCACGGGTGCAACGGATGAAGGGCCCCATGGCAGCCGTGCACGATGAGGTGGTGCCGAGATGAAAACGGTTGGTTTTAGATAAGACGTTGTGGCGTGCATATGCAGCGGGCGGGAACAACGCTGCCCGTGTGAACAGTTAGATACAAACGACTGCCTTGGTATTCAGGCAAATTCACAACATGCGCGCCGATATTGAGTAGCGTGCAGCTGCTGTGTGGATACATGTGCATCAGCCACATGTGACACGGAGAGCTAGCGGCTCTGGTCTCTGGGATTTGGCCGTGGTACTTGACCGCAACGTGACACGAATCATGGCGCAGAGAGGTCGCAACGCAACAGCTTCCGTCCAGGTTTTCTAGCTGTTTCCAAGGTGCACTGATTGGCCCCCACTTGGACATGGGACGGCAGTCTAGGAGCCAGCCTCTCGCTGGCGGCCGCGCTTCAGAGCTCGACTGGTGTGACGGGTGGATGTAGACGTTGAAGGCAAACTGGAGTAAGATGAGTGCAGGACGACGCAATGGCACAAGCCGCGAATCAAGACTTTAGGGAGCGAGTGAGGTAGCTGAAGGGGGTGGCCGGTGAAAGGGCAGACCCTGGAGCTGCTCACGTGCCCGTGTACCCCTCATTGCCAGCTCCCTCCCACGAACATGGCATGGAGGGCTGACATTGGAGCGCAACTGTAGGGGCGATAGAGGGACACTTGATAGTGGTGAGGAGCATGAAGAGTGTCAAGGAAGCTGTGCCAGCGTGTAAACGGGGCAAGACATCATGTGAATGGCAGCCCAGGCGCCAATTGGGGGAAGGCGCAGTCGACGGGGTGGTGTTGTTCGCTCTGCGCACGGCCCCCCGGTCTGTCTTAGGGCAGACGCTCGCTTCCTCAAAACAACTTCGATCCTCTTCTGTTCGTTGATCCACACAAACACCTCAACAAGTCCGCCCACCGTCTATCCTTCCATACGCATCTGCACCCACCCCCACAGTCTCCCGACTACCCAAACACACATCAACTCAACCATCACAATGGCGACTGAGGTACGTGGTGCTGATTCTGCCCCATCCCCCCCGCTGTTGTCCCCCGGCGGGATGCCCCTCTGAGCCCCGATAAACTACAAGCCAGCGACATGGACTAACGCCAGACAGCGTGAGAGGTACGAGACAGCTGCTGCATCCAGCGCCCGCCCGTAATTGACGTCGCAATAGCAAGACTTTCCTCGCCCGGCTGTGCGAACAGGCTGAGCGTTACGATGGTAAGTCTCCGCGCGCTCCCAGCTACGGCCGCGCAAGCTAACCGTAGTCTGCAGAGATGGTCACATACATGAAGGTCAGTTGTTCTGTCATCGCTGCTCATTTGTACTCATATGCTGATATTCTTGCAGGAAGTCGCCAAGGTATGCCCGACCGCATCCGCTCCCACACGAGCAGGCGCTCGCCACAGCGGGCTCTCCGCTGACGCAGGCTAACACACGAGACAGGTCGCCGGTGAGCTCACCGTTGACGAGCGCAACCTTCTGTCCGTCGCCTACAAGAACGTTGTCGGTACCCGACGCGCGTCGTGGCGCATCATTTCCTCGATCGAGCAGAAGGAGGAGTCCAAGGGCTCTGAGAAGCACGTCGGCACCATCCGCGACTACCGCCAGAAGATCGAGACCGAGCTTGAGCAGGTCTGCCAGGATGTTCTCAACGTCCTCGACGACTCCCTCATCCCCAAGGCCGAGTCTGGCGAATCCAAGGTCTTCTACCACAAGATGTGCGTCCACACCGCTACATCTGCGGCAAACAAGGCTAACACCGGCACAGGAAGGGAGACTACCACCGCTACCTTGCCGAATTCGCTTCCGGTGAGAAGCGCAAGGTTGCTGCGACTGCTGCACACGAGGCCTACAAGGTATGACGCAATCAATACAGAGTGCAATAACAGCCACCTAACCCCACCACACAGACGGCCACCGACGTTGCCCAGACTGAGCTCACACCTACCCACCCCATCCGTCTCGGCCTTGCGCTGAACTTCTCGGTCTTCTACTACGAGATCCTGAACTCGCCCGACCGTGCTTGCCACCTTGCCAAGCAGGCTTTCGACGACGCCATTGCTGAGCTTGACTCTCTCTCCGAGGAGTCCTACCGCGACAGCACCCTCATCATGCAGCTCCTCCGTGACAACCTCACTCTCTGGACGTCATCAGACGGCAACGAGGGCGAGGCCGCCGGTGCCACTGACGCACCCAAGGAGGAGACCAAGACCACTGAGGATGCGCCGGCTGCATCTGAGCCCAAGGCCGACGAGCAGCCACCTGCTGCCGCCCCTGCTCCTGCCGCTTAAGCACACTCTCTCTATCTCGACCTTGTGTATCCTAAGCCATCGTCATCTGTTCTCGAATAGACGAAGAGGGCCGGCAGCGAGTGTCCTACGGAGTTGTACGTGTTCTGTGTGATTTCAAAAATTGGCTTTGGCAGCAAGCGGTTCGGTACGGTCGAATTCCCCATGACTGAATGTATTTCCCTTTACTCTCCTATCGCCGGCGCTGTCCCATCGAGCACGCAGTGTGTTGAGGTCGCGTTTCCCACACGACCACAGTACTCCTGAACTCTCCCTCGTGAGAGTCTCGGGCTGCTACCGGCAAGATACGGCTGCGTTTGGTACGTCGGATGCTACCCTCAATTCCCCCATGTTTTCGTTTTGGCAGCACATAAACACCTCGATCCTATACCGGCAGAGATGTTTGACATCCTCTTGGTGATTCTAGGAGTTAGGACATCCGTTTCGATGGCCGGTAGAGCAGTACGAAAGGCTCAGTGGGCTTAATGTCATCATACTGCACTCTTAGCTAGCCAAAGGAATCGCTACTTCAATATCTCGCTCCTATGCCGTGACTCTCGAACCTTGACGTACGTTGACTTCTGACTCACTGCAAGGAGCATATATGTCGTCGATCTTAGGACTTTGGTCGGTCCTTTTTCCATGTGCCAGACCCTGTGGAATGGGCAGCCGCTGCCCCACCATTTGGAGCCGAATAGCCCTCCCGCCCAGCTTTTTTGTCTCCAATGTCGCGTCGCGTATGGCAAAACATCCGAACAAGCCCTCCGAGGGCGAGCATCGCGCATAATTCCGTATAGCAGTTTCTATTCATTTCGATCTCTACCTCCATGCCATCAGAGCAACCTACGACTGTCGCGCAATGACAAAAGCCATGGCATACTCCAAAGATTACTACCACATCCTGCAACTGCCTGCGCCAGTTTGGTCCTCATCGAAACAGCAAACATCGCCAGCGGAATTACGTCGAGCGTACAAAGTCGCGTTGCTAGCAGCGCACCCAGATAAGGCGAGCGCCGCCTCCGCGACGGCAAGGACGAAGCCCGCATACACAGTCGACGACGTGAAAGAAGCCTACACGACCCTCGCAAACGAATCAACGAAGACGGAATACGAGAACTGGTTCTTGCATCATCGGGATAGCCTTGCGTCGTCAAAGACTGCGGATCCGCATGCGCATGCGAATACACAACCGTCAAGCGATTTCATACTTGGGCTCGAGTTGCTTGATCTTGGGGACTTTGAGGTCTGGGAACCAGAGGATGGGGATACATCTGCAGACACGAATAGTCCGGAACAAACGACATGGACAAGACCTTGTCGGTGTGGTGCGGAAAAGGGTTTTAGTATACTCGAAGAAGAGCTAGAAGATGCGGAGACAAGGGGTGAGAAAGAGGTTCTGGTGGGGTGTTTAGGGTGCAGTCTGTGGGTTAGGGTTGCGTTTGATGTCGAGGTAGGTTGAGGAATGGGGGAAGACATGTCGACGCAGCATCTCATCAAAGGCGGCCAGTGACACAGACTGTTATTGAGCCTGACTTATCAACCGATAGCCAGAGTGGAGAACCATGTGATGTGGGATCGCTTCGCTTTTACCCACCCACTCACCTACCTGCTTTTTGGGTGCGAGAGGACTTGGAACCGGTCATGTTACTCGATACACTCAGACAGGTGCTTCCATGGCTTGCAAAGGTTCCTTGTTCGAGCTTTCGAGTAAGTTTTCGAGATGCGTAGCAAGTAGTCTGTGATACCTATCTGCCCAATATCTGGACCCATCGGGGGACTGAATGGGAATAAAGGTCTCGAGGTGTCGTCAGATTAGTGAAGCAAATACGTCATTTTCATGGTCTAGAATTTAACGATGAGGCGCAGGAGGAGAACAAAAAGGGTATCAGTGTGACCCGACTATCCTTTATCTTGTTGTCAATAGGCAGTTAGAAAGGGTGTGGAAACCCCAAACATCGAGACGTATATTCATGGAATAGACAAAGACAAAGCCATGAAAAGACTAAACCAACAATCGACATATCCGCCCAAACCCCTTGGTATCAAACATGCACAGATATCCGCCAACGCCAGTAGGACCAAGGGCACCACAGCCATCTAAGATTGTATCTTGATCATATCTTAGGCTGTGCCGCCAGCTTAGCTCGCAGATCATCCACTTGCTTCTGCAACTCAGCTTTCTCTGCTTCAAGCTGTGTTTTCTCAGCCTCGAGCTGTGTTTTCTCAGCCTCGAGCTGTGTTTTCTTCTTCGGCTTTTCTTTGGGTACGTGCAAGTTTTCTCCGATCAAGTCGCCATTGTTGTCAAGCTCCATGCCCTTCTTCTTGAGCATCTCCTCAACCAAGGGTACCAAGTCTGTGAAGTTCTTGACACATGGAACACCGTATCTATCACATGTGAGGTGGACGTTTCCTGATTTCCAGTATGCATCGCCGCAGCAAACGACAACCTTATCGGACGCAGCCCAGACACCTAGCTCAAGCAGGGACACTGGGCTCTTGGTCTCGGTATCGAAGAAGAAACAGATAACATCTGCTTGTTCTAACGCATCTAGCTCCCATACAACTTGTTGTTTGAAGAGTTCGTCCTTGGCTTGCTGCTTAATGCTTTGATCCCAGGAGCCTTTTCGAGGATTGCACACAGTGATAGGCAAGTGATGGAGCATGGTTGCCATTAAGGGCTGCCAGTTGACTGCACCACCCATCTCTATGCTGCCAGCCGTAAAGACAGTAAACTTGCGGTATTCAGGAGGTTCCGGAGGATTAGAATGCACAAAATCTTTGTGTGGTGTTGGTACTGGTGACGGCCAAGGCGGAAGTTGATTCTTTGTGTCCTCAACCACCTTATCAATACTCGTCATACCGGGAGATTTGATCATATCAGCAGCCGGCTCCTTAGTCGCTTCTTCGGGCATGTTCGACTTGGTAGGTTCGCTACCGGTTTTCTCGTCCTTGCTTAGGAACTTCTCGACGATCTTAGACCAGGTTGTATGGCTCCTCATGAGGTGACCGGTCAGCTGCTGCAGTCGATCTTTAGCAATAGAAACCTCGGATTTTGTCGGAAGAGTAGCTGCTCGGGCCAGAGTGGTGTAGGAAAAAGGCTGATGAAGAGAGTGGAAGCTGCGAATAGATGTTAGTTGGGTGCCTTGGTTGTTTGATGGTCGTTTGGTGGGGCTAAGTCATACTTGACCAATGACATAACTGGACCCCTTGACTGCTTATGTCTTGGGTCTTTGAGCAATCGTGGAACGATGCAAACGGACACAGACAATATTGGCAAGCGTCACAGATGAGTGTTTGAAAGGTGAAACTCTGAATTCAATCAACGGGCACACACGTTACAAAGAGCATAAGTGTGCGCATCTTATTTGCGATTTCTTGAGGCTGCAGCTTGAATATTTGGCGCCAGGCTGCGACATGGGTCCACAAACTGCGCCTCCAAGGGCGCCTGATAGTTCGCGCCGGTAATTAAGATCGGTCATAATACACGTGCTAATATGTATACACCGACTCTGTTCTTTAGGATGTTGCTTGTACACTAGACTGATTCATGTGTGGCGAAGTGTGGCTGGTTCCTGTTCCCCTCTTTTGTGCCCTTGGTGCTAGTGGTGAGGCTGTCTTTAAGGCTGTCATTTAAGGCAGTAACCAGATCACTCACAGCCGTCGTCTCGATCATAGAAATCCGTGATAATTTATGTGGTAAGTGATACGGCGATCTCAACGTTGGTATTCAAGGTCTCGGAGATGTCCGAAGGAGCTATCACGATAAATTACGGCGGCTGAGGTTGGAGCTGAAGCACATGTGAGCGCAGAGGAGCTGAACAACACGAGTCACATGAACTATCATCAGTCACGCTTACAAAGTGTCAGTTTGACTTCAAAAACGTCATGAGAATTTTCCGTGTTCATTGTATGAAACATGGGGTCACGAACGACGACATATTGTGGCGATGTTGTCACAGGCACAACACCAAGATTCATCAAAAGACTGAGGATTGGCCTGAATGATACCTCCCTCATGATAATCTGATCCCTTACGATCGACAGGCTCAGGAACCCCGATGAACTGTCAGGTCACATCTGCCTACAAGTCCAAACGACGTATGACCAACGTCCGCTTATGTGAATCTTTCAGGTAAGAGGTGGACATGCTAATCCTACTGCGCCTGAGCAATTCATCCAAGACCCCTGAAGAAAACACTCAAGGTACGGAGATGGAGCATGGGCGGCCTTACGAGATCCTAGACCTTGGCGGCCTCAAATTCGGCTCAATACATGCGAACCCCAGACGCTACCTTGCGACCCCATCTTTCCTTTGACCGAATCCATACTCCCAGTATTACAGCAGAAATACTACCACTGCTTGATTCCGTGTCGTTTCACTCCACAGGTGCTCCTGAGGGGATTCGGGTGGCGCCCTCCCTTCAACGTCAAGGTCGGCGTACCATGTCCTCTCGCCCTATCTCCCGGTGTACTGCCAAACCCAGCCATATTGCGTGCGACCACTTGATTTGCAAACTGAACCTCGCGAAAGTCTTTCGGCGGATCCACGATCTGGAAACAGAGAGAAGAAGCTTCAGTAATCATGCCGCAGGTACACTTGATACCGGTGAACTTGACAGAAACAGATTCGGCCTGCTCTCCATATTCTTTCTTCATTTCGCGAGAGAGAGATCGGAAGCTGAGGAGACTGGTGACGGACCTGGAAGAGGCGATCGATACATCAGAAGGCTCCCTCTCTGCGTGATCGTTAAGGTTGTTCATCGACCGACTAGGTCGGAGGCGCTCCAGAGGGTGTGCACCACCGCGTATCGCCAGTCGCCTAGGAATTGCAGCCACACGTAGCAGTGCCAACTTGTACATTGTCGTATTTTTGATCTTGTTCTGGGCTTTCTCTGCGCGCCAGGATAAACCACAGCCTTCGCAGAATACACCGAATCGTATAGCTTTACTATCATCTTCGGACAACGGGATCAATTCCGGCTCGCTCATCGGTACGAATTGCTTGACCAGACCCTCTAGCTTGCACTTCGAACAAGATCGATGTGTGCATTCGCAGCTCAAGACGCTGACTGGATGCTGGCCTTGTGCGAAGCTGTGAATCTCGTGACCGCGGTGACACTTGCAACAGCGCCACTTGCTGTCGGATTTTGGTACCTCGTTCTCATCGTTAGAGAAAGCCATGGCATTTGAGACTGTTCCTTTGTCACTACTGGAGTAGGCGGAAGTGAAAGACTGGTTGTTAGGCGCGGATGTAGCAGGCCCATTGTGGCGATCTCGGACAGTCTTCTCCATCGTGGCCAGCGAGTCTCCGGTATATCTCGGTGTGAGGCTTGTGGGCGGAGTGGTATCGGTCTGCTGTATCTTGCTCTCTTGTAGTCGACGCTCTGCTTGAGCTCGTGCGCGTGCGACACTACCAGGGAGTTTCCTCGTCAGTCCTAATCCTGCATATTTGTAGCTTCCTCCAGTCATGTCGATTGAATACCTTAGGCCCTCATACCGAGCTCTCTGGGCAGATTCTCCAGATTCTGTCAACTGACTTATCTTATCGCCATCCGGGTTACTGATTGAGATGTTTGGTAGGCTCATCACCACGTGCTGTTGGTCTTTGGATTTTGCGAGGGAGTCCACTCGCTCCGGGCGCGAGACTTCAGAGTGTTCGCCTGATTGATGAATGTCAGACATTGTACCCGGGGAGATGACTGCGAAAGGCTTGCGTGGTATTGACAGTAAAGCGTTCACCAGTGCAAAAGATGGACTCGCGGCAAAGCTGAGCGAAGCAACAGGTCAAGCTGGCAGTAAATATTTGACCTGAAGCAACTTTCAGTGAACAATAAGTTAATGGCAGTAGAGCTAAAAATGAGGTGAACGTGGGTTGCGTGTGGGAATACAGCGTTTGCGTCTTCACTGTGGAGCCAGAAGATTCGACAAAGTGAACGGCATCTAAACAATCACCGCTAACACGTGCACATGGTCCAACTTGGAAACCAAGATGCAGGTGATGGCCGCAGCTGAGAGATAAGCGTGAAGATGCGAGGATGTGCAGCCTTTACTTCCTCATTCAGTCGCCGCTGACTATGATGAAACAACGTCTAGATGACACAAAAACTACTTGCTGCAGTATCGATGGATATTAGATGAACTAAGAACGTGGCAACACGATTCTACTCATTGTCGGATGCCATCCCCAACCATATTGTCTATCAAAACAATTTTATCGTCCAACGTAGCTCTCCAACGTTCCATTCGTAGGCCACTTCCTCGGCATTTGTAATCCTTGTCTTTATGAACACTATCATTTAGCAACGGTGCCATCTGGATCTCGCACTCACTGTTCATGCGATTCATGGTGGCATATGCAGCAGCAGATGACAGCAGGCCTGTATTCCTTATGAAGAAAGCAGAAGTATCTCAATGTAACCTCGATGACAGTTACCAGTAGCGTGGGATCGCTGCAATCATGACGGTGCTTGTGTGGAAAGGCTGCCAAGTTTCTAGAGCGGGTTATTTTTGTTCATGGTTTCTTGAGCAAATGTAGAAAGGGTTAGTATTGGATCGACTGAAGCGTATGAGGAGGCATGTAGAATGATGCTGATACCTACAGATGAATCAGATAACGACACTTACATATACACACTGGTGGTTTGGTTGTCAAGCTGATATTAAAGGCGGAGTATTTGTATGCTTTGTCGTCAAACTTACCATGAAAACTAGAACACCTTCGTGAACGGAAAAGTTGCTGACCAATGTCTATTCATCCCGTCGGAACCTCTTTATAGAAAGCCGCATAGGAAAGAAGCATATGGAAGACAAGTGTGGTTGCATTCGCTGTCTGTCTGTCTACTTAAGCTTAACCTGCAGCACACCTTTCCAAGCTTGCAGAGCACTGTCAACGTATTCGGCGGCGTAGAAATCGACATCGTCGTCAGTTAGCACTTCTTTCAACATCTCGCCCGTCTTGCCCCACCGTATCTGCGCCTTGATTGCAGCTTGGCCCTTCGTCTCGATAAGCTTGATATAGCTTTGCGCGACATCGCGTATCGCCTCGAAGCAGATCTTTGTCTTGCTCTCTATGTCATTGACCCAGTCTTTCGACAACTTGGCCTTCATGTTATGAGTCTTCGAGTTGATGACTTTCTCGCGTATGTGTTCGACCAGCTTGATGAGCGCGCGGAGAACTTCGAACTTGGTGTAGCAAGAGATGAGCATGTTCTCGTGGAACATAGTAGGCTCGTCTTCGGGTTTCAAGTTGGTAGCGCCGGGCATACGTAGTTTTTCCATTGCGATTCGCATAGCATGTATCTCTTCCGGTAGTACTTTTATTATGGAAGAGAGCGGCTCTGGGGACGCAAGTCGGGGGGAATCTTCCAACAGCATCATCTCAACGATAGAGTTGATATAGTCCCAGATTCCGTGAGCTGTAGATTCCGCAGGTGTCATGTTATGTTTAGTTTCTTTGATATGACTCTGAGGTGAAGCAGCCGAGCGTATCCATGCACCCTGAAATTCCCGCGTTTGTGTCTCTCTATAGAGTAGTCTACTGCTCGCATCCCAGGTATCAAGGCTTTCACATAGCCAGTTGATATTAGGGATCGTATTAGGCATGATGTATGGAAGTGGTCCAGGAGAACAAGAGTGCTCGTAGTTAGGGAATACGGACCTATCCACGTTGTCGGATATGTGTCGGTAGCCTACGTGAATTAGCCGGCGATCAACTACAACTTGAAAGACACTTACTACCCGGGTCAACAACCGGCAAATTATCAATCGGCTCGCCCTTTAATCGTGATATGCGGCGGCGCTCGACGTTGCATATGTGCTTTGTCAAGCTCGATTTGAATTTCCGCTTCATACCCAGAAGTTCCATAGCTTGGTCCCAAGGAAGCGATTGCAAATCAGCATATAAAGTATCATCAATCTTACGTTCCATTCTCTCCATAGTGCCAACAGCTTTGCCAAGTTCTTCTTCCGCCGAGAATCCTTGATAACCTTTAGCACCAAATGGGTGTGTCAGTGAGATCCGGGACAGAACATAGGGCGACAATGTATGCACCAGCATTTCCTTGCACTTGGTATGGCTGTACAATTGGAAGGCACATTTCCCAAGGCCGAGGTTCAGGTGCATTCGTGCAGCAAGTAGTGCTAGTGGCCTGTCCTGCTTCTCTTTATCGCAAGCCACCAGATGACGTGCGAGCATCGTAGCTTGAAGGAGGAGTCGCGAGTTTGGCGTTGTTCCGAAAGGATGAGTATCTTCTTTGTTATGCATAGCGTTACGATGCATCTGGAGGAGGATGTAGATTCCGACGATACCTTCTGAAGACTTGGGAGAGCGTAACCAGGGGGCTGTCAATGCGATGGACAAAGGCACTTCCATATAATCCTGCCATTTCGAACTCGGCTTTGTCGTTAGTGATATCCACAGGAGATAGGATAGCTTCAGGCGGTTTCCGTGATAGGTAACCGCGTCTTGGTACGGATACTTCTTTTCCTCCGACAACCTGAATATTTCTTTCCATTCCGCGTCCACAAAATTTGAAAACGTGTGACGATCTTCTCTACTCAATGCTTCCACAAACGGACGGATGTCCGCATAACATGTGATGAGATTTGCATGGGCTTTCCAGTAAGCCTCACAGTCGGCTAACATCGTAGTCCCTGGGACGACAGTCTGACGAAGTTTCATGTACGCCAATCTTAGGCTACGGTCCTGGGGTTGGAATTCATCCGGTTTGAAAGTGCGTCGTATGACATCAGAGATAAGGCGAATGCTATCGTCCTTGACACGTGTTGCTCGCGCGGCTTGTAGCAAACTTGTCCAAACATCTTGCCTCCAGGCGCAAGTTTCTCGAAGGCTAATCCTGTTAGCAGCTGTCTTGAGGAATGCCAGAGATCCATAGCTGCCGTTGTGAGCTGTAGCATCTCCTCTACACTAACTTGCCTTTCTTGGTGCGATATCACACGCTCAATATACGCAAGACACTGACTTTCAAGCAGAGACCACTCTCCACTGTTTTTTGGAAGCCTGATTCTCATATCCCACAAATCACCCTGATGCCTGGTCATTAGGTCCTGGAGGGCTGCAGGCGGCTGATTCCAGTACTCTAACAGCTCATTGCATTTGCCTTGCCGCGCGAAAATCTCACCCATGAAGCGTAGATCGCGTATATCTTTGAATGCGATCGGGTCATCAGGAGCCGCCTCGTATGCTTGCTTCATGAGTCTACGAGCCAGGTCGGATTGTAGCTTACTTTTCATCTCGCCTGATGGAAGTCCGCGCTGCTGTTCGGCAGCGAGTTGAATAGCAAGTATTTGCGTGAAGTGAGCATGCTTCTTCGCTGACACTGATCCAGTGCTATCCTTGGTCTCCTTGCTGTAGTGAAAGACAGCCTGTCGTGTGTTAGCAAGTGGCATCGAAGACAAGTCCAATAGTATCATGTAGTTCTCCGCTGTAAGAAGAAGGCACTAGGAGAATTATGTCTCCTGATGGCCCCGAGTCACTCGTATGAGGGGCCAGTTTCGACTTCTTACATACCAGGCGGAAGTCTTCCCAGCATTCTTCAGCCAATGCTACTTTGCCCAAGGCAGACCAGAGTTCTTGACGATCTTCTTTACGGCCCAACGCTTTCGCAGCACGTTGCCAAACTTTGAGGTTGCCGTCGCCCACTCCGCTGATGTTAAGGTTGTTATCCTGGTCTCTCCGCGTTGCTTCCGCTAGGATTTGGTATAGGTAAGAAAGCAACCGAACATCATCTACTCCTGGCTGTTCCCAGGCCTGTTGGACTAGTTTTACAACATCGTTGTGTCCATGGTTGAGTGTGAGACCTAGACGAGCTTTCCATGCCTGCTCAAAATTTAGCGTGGCAACGTCATATCAAGCTCAGAGTAGCGTACCAGAAGAAATGGGTTTTTGGGTGTCTTCTTGAGCGACTTTTGCACGAAGGAATCTGCGAACTTCGGTTTGGGGTAATCGCGCTGAGCCTTGCACAATTTCTCCCAGCTGTTGCACGCCATGAGAACAGGTACTTAAGCGCGATTGGGTATCGCAGAAACAAGAGAGATAAACCAGAGACTAGCGATGCTCGAACAATGGCAAATATGTGGTGATTGGCTGGGGAATTATATGTTGCTGGCGGGGACGTGTAGAGACGGAAAATGATGTTGGGGGCGTTCGGGCGGAAGTCGGAGGAAAGTCCCGACTGCAAATTCACTACACGCAGCAAATGAGGCAGCCTCTCATTTGCCAGTTGCCTGAACGATTGATATTTCCATATCCTGACTGTGTTTACGGAACCTTCCTCCGCCAGCACAGTGATGTGAATCATAGCGAATACTCTCTGAGTAGTTTCTGCCTACCGCAACTTACGAAATATATGCTCCTCATTGAGCACGTACAGGTGATGTCAAAGTTCATTCAAAGTGGCGGAACCTTGGACATGTCTGCGATGGAGAAGCTCGTTGTTATCAATTTGCATCCTCAAGACAAACTCTGCTACCATTTAAATATGTTTTAGACGTAAAATACTACGTATGCTTTTAGACTTAGCTTTTACCTAGACAACTTTCAGGATACAACTCAGACACCACGAGCTGCAACATCATGACGATAAAGTAGCATACGAACATAACAGCTCAAATTGGCGTAATCTGACTATGAAATCTGGTTATGCACAGTTGGTGACTTTCAATTTCAGGTATAACATATACCTCATTCATGGATTACTATACTAGATACTTGATCGCGAAAGAATCTGACCCTATGCAAGTACTAAGCCCGCCGCAATATCGTCTCGGGAGTTCAGTCGCAAGATGACCAGACTAAGAAAGGTATGTGACAGTTATATGCACAAGTATATGCTGCCTCGATATTAGGACAGCCTAGTCAACCTCCATATCCATGTCTCCGTCTTTATCCGCATTTGCAGACCTAGCAACACCACGCTTCGCTTCATACCTTTGTTTGAACTTGTCTTTCGATGGTATGGAACGTGCACCTAAGGCGCCCATGGGCGAGCCATCGCTCCCAAAGATCCTGTTCTTACCGTCGTTGCCACGCTTAGAGTTAGCCGCCTTCCTACGTTCCCGGTCCTTCTTGCGCTCTGCCGCCAAATGCTTCGCGATAGCGGCCTGCTTGATGAGGTCCCCAGTGTCTTCCTTGACGGTAGTATAGATCTTACGGAAATCCTCATATGCTGGATCTTGGATACTGTCGAGAAAACCTGTAAGCTGTACTTCCGTCCAATGCTTAGCCTCTTGTGCAAGGACAGCCGCGACGACAAGTTGCTGTAACGCACCATCCTCGTCTTTGCAGATGCGCTCCGCGGTCCCGGTCGGGGCGAAGATAGTCTTGATGGCCTCCTTGAGAACTTCGGGATTGGAAGAACGGAAGACCAACAGTTCGACGAGCTTCGCGTGCGCGGCTGATCTCAGTGTATTGTAGTCCAATTCCTCTGCCAGGGCGTAGATGTGGAGACGGTATGCATATTCGGCAATACCGACGAGGGCAACTGTGGCAGGTAAGGGTGGAATCTCGTTCGGGATGAGAGTTGCATGATAGAATTTGAAGGTGGTCTGCTTGAGTTGGCCGCCTTCTGAGCCTGGAAGGAACCTATAGTCTGATGTGTAGACTATGCTATAGATCAGTATGTTTTTCAAACTCACCAACGTACACGACACTTACTGAAATTGACAATGCGGTCTACCAGGATAGGATGAAAGTGAGCCGGCAGATTTACACAACCTGGTCGATTAGGGCTCATCGCCTGGTCATGTCAGCCTTCAGTCTACGACGCCTAAGGTCCCAGTAGCAGCTCATCAACCCAAGGATATGATCCTGACTAGGTTGGAGGCGAACAAAAAAGAGGTAATCTTACACCACCTGGAAATAGCCCCTCCTGCAACGCCTTCGAGCCGCCAATCAACATGATGGAATGTACCTGAAACTCCACACCAGCAACAGTGATCAGAGTAAAGTCGCGACCAATTGGCGTATCAAGCAACAACTCAGCGTGCCTGAATATTGTCATTAGTCACTGCAACCACCTTCCTGGAGTGAGGTGTTGTTTACTCGGTATGTAACTTCTGCGCTGTGGGCAGAGGATCCCAGCCCTTCTTGAAAACCTTACGCAGAAGATTGGACGCATCACGCGGGTCAACCGGTGGCTGTCGGAGAGAGGCAGTATCGCGCTGCAGCTGTGGCGGCTTGACCTGGGACATCGGAGTGGCCATGGGTGTGGATAAAGAGAGCGGGCTATCCGTTACGAATGCTGACTGGGGAATAATCGCTTCAAACAAACCAAAACTTTGACATGGTGCGAAGGCAGCAGAGTCAGAAAACGGGATGGAGAAACTTGCGACCTGCTCGTTTGTTTGCGGGTCTCGTGTGCGATATCGTCTTTCTCTTTTTCAGAGTAGGACGCAAATTTTGGGGATTTCAGGGAGGCAAATGCAAACGCATGTAGGAACTCGACCGATCCGCAGAGAGCTGTTGTATTATAAACCCGTGTTACTCGTACAATCGTGTTCCCTAGAGACCCAGCTCTTAAAATGTTGGCCTCGTTCTCTCACCCTTCCACAGTCCCATAACCTCTCCCGTCTCTCCGACCCACTCCCTGACGCCAGTGACAACGGCCTTCGCCATGCCCGCGTTTGTTCCACTTCTTGCTCTCCTCTTGCCCTCCATCCCACTGCTCACTCCGCCAACTCCAATACCCGTCCCGCTGCCAAACGACTCTGGTGCTTTCCCTGGCATGATATAGCTGCTACCGTCTCCAGTCGCGTACTCGGAGCCCATTGAGGGAAGAACGTTCTCGCCAGCGGACAAGGAGACGAACAAGGCAAAAGGAACTAGCCAGACGCATAGGCCGAAGTAGGATGCGATCTCGGTGAAGGTGGGAATGTTGACGTCGCGGGAGTATGAGTACGAAGAGTATGTGTTCGCTGGCGGAGCGCTAAAGTGACGAAACCAAAGATAGTGATTTGCGATCACGAGGGCTAGAAAGATGCTTAGTACAGACATGAAACGGACTCAGAATAAGGTACAACATACCGCAAGAGACCAAGAACAGTGGGTCCGTGAGCTTGACAATGGGAAATCGCCTGAGGTTCTGCGCATAAATGACATGCGACACAACACTCAACGCGCTGAGTCCGACTGGAAACCGATCGACGACTAGAAGCAAGATTTGGATACCGACCACGCCATAGATGAGTCGGTACAGTAGCTTCTTTGCGAATACGGTATGCTCTTCCACAAGCTCAGAGAGGTAGTACAGGCCGGAAGCTACGTTGCGTCAGCTCCGTGAACCAAAGACTATGTGCATGGCTGCAAAGTACCTATGGCAAGCGTCAAGAAGGCGAAGCCCAAAATGACACCCACATATCCAAGCAACGGCAGTATCCACATGTTGACTTGTGACACTTCAGGGGGATGTGAAGAAGGATGGAATCTGGAAGTTTGGTGGGCGCACGATGAGGTCAGTCCAAAGGTGGCATCAAGGCTAGCGGAGAAACCCGTGGACCCGCGGCAAAGTGTGGGGTGCAACACCAAAAAGTCGTCGAACTCTTGGCTTGAGTGAATCGACCAACCGACACATCACGCTCGCTTCCCGCAGGCCCCTTGTAGCCCCCCAGTCGCACAAGTCAAAGCGAACCAAAGAGTACTGCGCTTGTTGCAGAGAGAGTCACAGCCCACAACCGCAACCATGTCGCGCCCCGAAGACATCCTGTACGCACGCCTCTTCGCAATATCGCAAGTCGCATAGCGAGGAATCCAACGCTTACGTTTCTACAGACCCCCCGATCTCTTCTACAATGACTCGGAATCGCGAAAATACACAACCTCTTCGCGTATCCAGAAGATTCAATCCACAATGACCCATCGCGCCCTCTCCCTCCTCGCACTTTCCTCGCCCTCCATGATTCTCGACATTGGCTGCGGCTCCGGTCTTAGTGGCGAGATCCTGTCGCAAACCGCAGAACAAGGCACACCTGGCGGCCCACACGTATGGATTGGCTTTGACATTAGCGCATCCATGCTGGGCGTTGCGTTGGAGAAAGAGGTAGAAGGAGATTTGCTGCTAGCCGACGCAGGCCAAGGTGTACCGTTCAGACCAGGAACCTTCGACGCTGCCATCAGTATCAGTGCAGTCCAATGGCTGTGTAACGCTGAAACTAGCGAGGAGAGTCCTGCGGGCAGATTATCGAGGTTCTTCAACCAGCTCTATGCGAGTCTGAAGAGAGGAGGGAGGGCTGTCTGTCAGTTCTACCCAAAGAACGATGCACAGAAGAAGATGGTGGCGCAGGCAGCCATCAAGGCCGGTTTCGGTGCGGGTCTTCTTGAGGATGACATGGGAACCAAGAGCGCAAAGACATATCTTGTCCTAACTGTGGGCGGAGGAGCGCTCGATGGCGACATCACAGGTGTTGTGAGGGGCATGGAAGGCGTTGACGTCGATGATGCACGAAGAAAGGCAAAGGGCATGAAGAGAGGTGAAGAACGCAAGGGCAGCAAAGCATACATCATGAAGAAGAAGGAGCAGATGGAGAGGCAAGGCAAGGTTGTCAAGGCGTCGTCCAAGTACACTGGCAGGAAGAGGAGGATCCAATTCTAGATATACCCACGACACCATCATCACGATGTTACGCATAGCACGGAGTTCTGGTTCTGGCATTTTCAGGAGGGTATAAGAATGGTCAATTCAATCATGCAGCATGCTATATACCACCTACAAGTACAGCTCTATTCACATTCCAGCTGGTAGTTGTACAAGTGCCATTGCGTCCAATCGTTAAGAAAATGTGTTATTGCTCCCTATCATAGGTTAACCCAATGTGAGCCGAGGCCTAGATTTGACGGTATCATCGCGCTAGATCAAAGCTTAGCAAACACGAAGACCATGATGGTTAAATCATGCCTTCTCCATCTGGTTCAGAACTGCGCGGGTGAACTCGTGGGTGGTGGTGTTGCCTCCCATGTCGCGTGTGCGGGCGGTGCTAGAGAGTGTTAGTCATGGATTACTTTCTGACTTGACAAAGAAAACTCACCCGTCAGCGATAACCTTGTAGACGGACTGCGAGATGCGGTTGGCGTGGTCATCGAGACCAATGTGACGGAGCATCATGGCAGCGGACAAGATCAGAGCGGTGGGGTTGGCCTGGTCCTTGCCCTTGATGTCGAGACCGACGTGACGGCATCCAGGCTCGAAAACGGCGACGTTGCGGCCCATGTTGCAACCGGGGACGATACCAGGGCCACCGACAAGACCGGCACCGATGTTGGACAGGATACCTCCGTACAAGTTGGGCATGACCATGACGTCGAATTGCTGTGGCCTTGAGACACACTGCATGGAGGCGTTGTCGACGATCATGTCGTTGGTCTCGAGAGTGGGGTAGTCCTCACCAACACGCTTGACAGTGTTGCGGAACAGACCATCGGCAAGCTTCATGATGTTGGCCTTGTGGATGCAGGTAACCTTCTTGCGGTTGTTGGCGAGCGCAAAGGCGAAGGCAAACTTGGCGATGCGCTCCGACTTCTCACGGGTGATGATCTTGAGCGACTCAACGACGCCGTTGACCGACTGGTGCTCGAGACCGGAGTATTCACCCTCGGTGTTCTCACGGATAATGCAGAAGTCGATGTCCTTGTGGCGTGTCTCGTAGCCGGGGATGTTCTTGAGGAGGACGATGGAGGCGTAGATGTCGAGCTCTTGACGGAGAGCAACGTTGAAGGAACGGTGGCCGGAGCGCTCGACGGGAGTGTGGAGGATACCCTTGAGACCGAGCTTGTTGCGCTTGAGCGAAGCAATCGACTCGCGGAGGAGCTCCTCGGAGTGGACGTTGCCCGAGTCGACACCAGACACGTCGACCTGCTCCCACTCAATGGGGACGTTGTCCGCCTTGAAGATCTCCTTGACCGACTCGGAGACCTCAGCACCGATACCGTCACCTGCGCATGTTCAGAAAGTATATCGGGTTTATGGGCGGCTATCGCGCGTACCAGGAATCAAGGTGACAGTGTATTTGCCGCCGAACTTGGTGGGCTTGAAGATATCCTGGGTGACCGTGGCCATTGCTGTCGCCGCGTTAGACTCTGCACTGCTCCGAATACTTCAGGGCGTCTTCGTACATCGAGTAGGCATTGGGGAAGCCCATCGAGCGGCAGGCTTCGCGCCCCGCAGGAGCGTCTGTATGGGCGCATTAGCACTCGAATTTCCGCCATGACCGCCAATTGCAAGCGCATCGACATGTCCGTACCTGCGCTGTTCGTTGAGAGGTCCTCGACAACATGGTGGAGTTGCGGCGTTGGGCTGGTGGTGAGGGATTTGAGGTAGAGAGAAACCAGCTCGAGCTGCCGTCCCCCGAAAATGCATCCGAACCGAAGGAAGAAACCGCGCTTGGCAAATGACCGCATCCGTCCTTCCGCCGCGGCTCGCTCTGTCTGTTGCATCCGGCGCAGCCCTGTTCGTGCCTTTCACTCTCTATGCTACTTGCTTTTTCTTATTTTTGCTCGTGTCCTAGTCGGTATATACTCCGATTTTCCACAACTGCCCAGCCCTTTGTGCGCAATCCACCACGGCCTCATTTGCATGTGATAGTACCGACCATGGTTCTCGTAGTGCATGCGTGTTTCATCCGTGCCAGGTTTCAGGTGACAAGCAGTCAAAACGGCAGTTGGCCCTCTTCATAGTATTATGCAACTGTTTTTACGATGCGCAATGGCATTCTGAGACTGCTTTGCCTTGTAGGTTTTGCCGGATATCCTCACCATGTTTTGTCATTTCGTCGGATGGCAAAGAAAATCCATCTTTCATATGTATTCAGCAAAAGTCGTAATCCAGATACTTGAGTTACAGAGAATGCCAGACGTCGAAAGAGCAGGAAGAGATAATCATGTGGAACGACGGCGACTACCGTGGTCTTAAGCTACTGAACGTGTGCTGCTCCACGGAGCCACATCTTTGTTCGAACAATCGAAAAGCATCTTCCAGCACGATATAAGGACGATTACGGCATACATCGGTTTTCATATATATAGCTGAGCTCCAGATGCCTCTCAGTTGACTCTCACTTGAGCCTTGGTAGACGTGGTGATCGCGATGTCAGCGACACTCCTTCAGCACACGTCACGCACGAGGCTGGCCTTACTTTCACCTCACTGCTCGTCTGTCTTCGCTTGCCACTAGCATATAAGATGGTCTTCCATCCCTTCATCCATTTCTTCTACCTATCACTTCCACTCCTCTTTTGTTTGGCCATGCACTGGACTCCCTTGTGACACTCGTACTACGAATAGCGATCTAGCCGATACATGAACATAAGTCGCCATTCGTAGCTCGCCAGTCAGGGACAAAGCGTTCTAGCTACGAAGGTTCCCTTGCTTCCAGTGCCACAAGCACTGTGCTTCAGAAGCCCTATCAGCCCTCAACGACCAACTTGCTAGCTTGTGTAGTTCTGTTTAACCGTCTAGGTGATCTTGCTACAGTCACCATTTCATCATCGCTTACCATTGCCATCCAGTTGTAATCAAAGATATATCGATCGTCTCACGGTAAAGCTCTGGAAATGAAAGTCGTGGAGAAGGATTCGGACAGAATAGCCGAGGTCAACGTCTTCGTCGAAGGCCAAGTTCCGGCATTGAAAGAGTACGGTAAGTATATCGATCCAAGGGACAAAGCGATATGTTGCTACGTGGCCCTGTATGAAGGCGATAAGCCTCGTATCAGAGGCCACTTCTCTGGCACGGTAAGTCGTACTTGTGCAGGCTCAATAGGCTTATCTGACCAATTCTCAGACTCTGGCCGTGGCCTGGGATACTATTGTGGACGGAGTACTTCGCAAGGCAAACTCGTACGCAGCCAAAGCCGTAAGCTTCCAGCACAAAAGGAAGATAGAAACAGTAAAGTTTTTGTACAAGACTACGAAGGGGATCATTGATACCGACATCACCGTGGCGCCACTGCTAGGTTTCGCTACGACACAAAACAATGACCCTGAGACAATCGGGACTTTGGAACTGCGTCTATACATTACCCGACAGCTAGGGACTTGGCACGATATAGGTGAAGTTAAAAAGTACTTCACGGTTGGAGGTAGCATCGGGGACAAGCAAACAGGTAGTATGGAACAGAAGGTGAGTTACAAGGTCATCCCTCCGACTTTCGAGATGTCGTTCGAGATGAACGCTGCTCTTCTAGAGGACAGGCAGCCAAATCTTCAACAGCGCAAGGTGGATGCGAAACGTCCAGGCACAGAGCCCTGGGCCATATTTCGTTTCCACTATCGACGTCAAGGTGAGTTCGTCAGGCATCATTCTCGAACATTGTGCTTACACGGTTGTTCAGAAGAGATTTCAGCGCGAGAAATAAAGATGACTTATGACCCGAACAGCAAAGAGAAACCTAAACCGCATACCTTATTTCTAAATCCCGTACCCACTCTGCAATTGGGCGAAAAACCGTGTAAGAACGACGGGGACGCCTTGTCCCGATCATCATCATCTCCAATGCCTTCTGGCAAACCTTCTACTCCGGCAAGAAGCGCAAAGCCGGGCCTCAAAGTAAGAGTCAAAAAGGCGCTCGACAGTCTCGAGTCTGAGAGGGACGCTCCTACTATCTCTACTGGCAACGATGGCGACAAGGTTGTTGACAAAATTGCTGTTACGCCTCCTGAGCCGGCAGCCAACTGTATCGCAAAGTTGTCTGATCTTCCAGGTCTCGAGACTAAGCCCACACTTTTACATCCAGAAATACCCGCGGTCGCAGCGGAAGAAACAATTGGGAAGCCTCCACAGTCGCCCATCACGCAAGGAAAGAAGCCGATTGAGAGACCAGCGCCAATTAGTGGTATCACGAGTGCGCGAAAGAAGCCAGATACCCTGCCCGTCGCAGCGATACCGACCAAGCGTCAGATATCCACCAAAGATAGCGCGACGTCCGAGCCAAAGCGCACCAAGGCCGTCGTGACGCCTCCTGCACCCTTCATCGAGCCTATAGTTCCAAGTACCCCTCTGCGCTCACCTACCCCAAAGCCCATGTCAATCGAGCGACAGCTTGCGGATCAGCGCAAGAAGCTCGAAGAACTGCGTAAGAAGCGTAGCGATACTGCTCACAAACAAGCTGTGATCGACAAAGAGATGATCCCCTACAAGCAGCGTATGGCCGAGGAGCTGGATCGTCTCCATCAAATGATGACAGAAGAGGAGAACGCTTATACTGAGGAGACTGAACACTACAGTGCTAGTATCAGGATTCTGCAAGAGTTCAAAAAGGCAGAAGGTGGCAACTAGGCTGGTGGTTAAGTGCAAGTTCGACAAAAGTGCGTCAGAAGGAGTATGGCGCTGAGGTGAAGAGGTGAGGCCTGGAGTGATTCGGAGTTTTTGAGTACTTCAGACGAGTTTATCAAAGCCCAGCTGGCAACTACCAACGGCATTGAATTCTTGAATGGATCGACAATTGCTTAGTGAGGCGACTACCAATGCCACGAGGGGGAAAAGTGCTTATAGTTGCTTAACATCATGTAATCAGTAGTCAACACAAGGTACTGATGAGCATAGTTTGGGTTGAAGGACTATCCAGTTATGCGACGGCTAATTTGGTTTATTGCCCTGGCGTCCGCTCTCTTGCTACCCTCATGTTCGCCTTGATCCTCTCCAGCAGCTCAGCTGTCGTTGCGAGTGGAGAGGGGTGTAGATTCCTCTGCCATATTGTTAGCACAAAACTGCTTGATTGAAGTCATCCATGTTCTGCATAATGCCAAAGCAGTTTGACAGTAGCCAGAACTAGGGTGGATCTTGTCGGATCTCTCAGCTGTGAGAGGACTTACGTGCTTGAGCCAGGTAACGCATTGGTCGTGTGTCCATGTCTCTGGGTCTGAAACGATATTAGCAAAGTCGAAAATAGTGTCATTCGACAATCTAAGGGGCATGAATTTGCGTACCTCCAGTAGGGTCTTGACTGGGAAAGATGTCTTGCCCCCAAATACTCCATGCTGCAACACCAGCAACTACTGCAGCAAAAGCAAAAAACGGACCCTGTGTTGTCTTAGTATAGGACGAAAGCGACATGCAGAAGGCCCACTACGTATAGCAGATGCCAGGATAGCCATGAGTAACCTACACGTTGTTGCACCGCGCGATCGATAGGAGTCGGCATGCTGAAGGATGGAAGTGGAAGTCGTGGCTAGGAGAACTGGTGAGATTTAAGAGTTTTGAGCGCAGCTGTGGAGCTCGAATGAGATATTTGTCTGGATTTCGCGGGGTTTGTAGGATTTAAGTGTAGGCAGCGCTGTCTCACATGCAACGCATCTACATTCCAAGGTTGCCTCGCTCGTTTACGCCACACACGTCGTCACCCCACCAAGCCCGAAGCAGCAACGCTTGCGGCCAGCCCCTTTGTAGCCCGTGCTTTTCAAGCGAGGTCTCCCCGGGGCCAGAGTCCACAACAATATTGCGTTCCCGAACTTCACGATCGATTCCGAATTCCAACGACCCGTCAACACACAAATCGTCAAGATGCCTTCCGAAGTTTCCGACATCAAGCAGTTCATCGAGATCTGCAGACGCAAGGATGCCAGCTGTACGTCTACCAATTTTGTTAGGGGGAGGTTGCGGTCGCAGTAGGAAGAGGAATTGTGCACAAGAAGCGGGAGATGCAGAAAGCTGCGACAATCGAGGCAGAGAATGTGATGAGAGATCTGGACTGACAGTATTGTAGCCGCCCGCATAAAGAAGAACAAGAAGGTCAACAACATCAAGTTCAAGGTCCGATGCTCCACCAACGTCTACACCCTCGTCCTTAAGGACACCGACAAGGCCGAGAAGCTCAAGCAGAGTCTGCCCCCGGGTACGCACAAACAATCAATAACACGTGGCCAGCGACGTGAGTCTAACATTTGCAGGTCTTACCATCACCGACGTCGGCAAGAAGAACCCCAAGGGCAAGCGCACCGCATAAACGGATCGAACGCATAAGGAACTGAGGACGGAAGTGTGCAAGGACATCAACGCATGATGCGCACGAAGCACGAAGGCATGGCGGGCGGCGTCTCAACGGATAAATTTTGTTCAATGGCAACTACGGAACCCTTCAGATTGGGTTACCACCAGGAATGAAAAAAGTCAAACTTCATTCCGAATCACGACTTGTTTCCGACGTGCACCAAGAATCATCATGTATCATGATCAATATTGCTGAACAGCTAGTTACCGAGTCATTACAGATATGGCTACTAATACAGCGATTGCTTCGGCTGCTTCTGTCCTTGTTTCACGTTGAACTTGTACTGATCTTTGCGGTCTAGATACACAACCTTGCTATCCAATCCAGCCGCATGTACCGCCTTCTTGAAGTCGTCCAAGGGACTCAGGAAAACATCGTAATCGTCGTAGTGGATCGGGATTGTGAGGTCGGGGTTGATAAGCTGCATCAGCTGTACACCCTGTTCTGCGTCCATTGTGACCATCAGCAACGGCATCTTGGGACCAGGAATTGTGGTGCCTCCCAGATGGACTAGCATCAAGTCGATGTTGTGATCCTTGTACCGCTCAGGGATCTCCTTGAGCTCGTCTACCATCAGCGTGTCGCCAGAGATATAGATTCGGTATCCATTCTCAAAATCGCTACCGTCGCTAGAGGAACCATCCGAGTACCCGAGCTCAACCATCCAGCCGTTTGTAGGTGGTACAGCGCCAAGAATCTCATTTGCAACATTTAACGGGCCAGGAGGTACATGTTTTCCAGGCATTCCTGTGACTTTGATGCTGGGCTTTGGACCGCTACCACTTGTTTGGTCTGACTGCGATACATCGAGAAGCAAACTGTGCCAGAAGTCGAGCGCATGTACGTTCTTGAATGATTCTTCGCCTTTGCCTGTCAAGCATTCCTTGGCGTGTGGCGTAGTGATGATTGGGAGACCCTTTGACAGTTTCTCCTCTACTTCTCGGTCAAAGTGATCTTCATGGTAATGCGAAAGCAGAATCACGTCGATCCTTGGTAGCTCTTCCAAATCGATCGCGGGGTTGGTCTGTCTTGTTGCACCGACACCTGGTCCTAGATGAACATGATCGCCAGCATGGAGGAAGTTGGGATCTGTGAGAATGCGGATGCCTTCCCACTCTAGAATTGTAGTGGCAGTCCCGACGAAGAAGAGTGAAGCATTTGTTGAGGCGTCTGGGGCGTTTTGGGGATGAATCTTGGTCTCTTTGGCGTCGGGTAAAGAGGCAGGGACGTCAGTGTTAAGTTTTGTAGGTGGGCCTGAGCCGTCTGGTGTGATTCGTATGCGCTTCATGCTTGCGCCTGACATGGTGTTTTGCTAGGTAAGATGGATGTTGTAGAAGGGGAATCGTGTCGCTCTATCTTCTTCTTCCGTAAAGATTCTTTGGACTGTGACTCTCCGATCTTGGGAGTATTCGACCTCTTTACTGTAGGTGATGAAGTGCGGGCAAGCCGAAAGCAACGGTGTAAGGGCAGACAAGAAAAGAGGGCAAAGAATAGGAAGCGCGCTTCGTCTTTGGTGTAGAAAGCCATCACGTAACTCGTAAACAGCAATGACGACAAGACGTGGTAATGGTGTAAATACGGCAGGGTATGCGATGATCATGGGAACAGCTTGTCTAAACGCATCTGAAATGTTCAATCGCTGCATCGCAGCTACTCCTTAAGTACCCATGGCGCAGAGATAAGCCCAAGACTACGGAAGGTGGCTGTGAGCATGCCTGTGCCCGGACACGCGTATCTCTGACTTGTAGTACAAGGAAGAGCGATGCTTGCGAGTCGCAGAGGCTGAGATGTAGAGGGGTGGAGCTCCCCCGTTGGACTCCGCTGTGGCTGATGTCTCTACGATGCGGGACCCCTGCTGCGCCAAGCCACGTACATCGGGGGTGAGCAATGAACACCTGGCGAGTCAGAGGGCGCTTTGAGTATTGCTTCCAGAATCCATTGCGAGTTTGGAGCAAGATGACAGCTTGTCAGACTTTGCAAGGGTGAACTTACACTCGCTCCGCTTGGTCTATCATTTGTTTAGCACTACGCGTCGCGCCGCCTCATGAACTCGACACGCGATCCATTCAACCTCCGAAGCAAAGCAACGTTCAAGACACCCTCCGCCTTCGCCGTCCTCCAGAACGCCGCCAACAAGAAAGCCTCACAAGCCGTCGAATCGACCAAGCAGGCGGTCGAGGCCACGAAACAGGCGATTCAGGACTCAGACATGTCCTTCGCCATCCCGCGCAACGTACCCAACTTCGAGAGCGCGCAACGCAAGTTTGAAGATAATGTTTGGAACAAACTACCGGGAAACGAGAAGGGCCTGCCAATGTATAAGGACAAGCCTTCAGGAAAGGTATACGGATATGGCGGCGGCGGCGCGAGGGGGAGGAGAGGCTTTTTGAAGAGTAAGAGGGGCATGTCATTAATAGCACTGGTCGTGCTCGGGCTTTTGTACTGGTTTGGATGGTCAAGTGGAGGGACAAGTGGGAATGTAGTGCAAGATGAGAAGGACAAGGGGAAGAGCTTACTGTCAAACATGGGCGGAAGCGCTGCCGGAAAGAAGAGCAAAGTTGACTGGGAGAAGCGGAGACAAGCAGTAAAGGATGCCTTTTTATTGAGCTGGAACGCATATGAGGAGCACGGCTGGGGCTACGACGAGTACCATCCCGTTTCGAAGAAGGGTCGATATATGGCAGAGCCCAACGGCCTGGGCTGGATTATCGTGGACGCCCTCGATACGCTCATGATCATGAACCTGACAAAGGAAGTCAACCACGCGCGTCAATGGATTGCAACAAGCCTCGATTACGACAAGAAGCAAGATGTCAATACCTTCGAAACGACTATACGCATGCTTGGTGGTCTGCTGTCTGCGCACTACTTGCAAGAGACACTTCCGGGCCTGAAGCCCGAGAATCAGAACGAAGAGGACCTGTTCTTGGAGAAAGCAACCGATTTGGCAGACCGTCTCATGGGCGCGTACGAGTCACCTTCGGGTGTTCCGTGGGCCAGTGTCATTCTTAGAGATGCCAAAGGCGAAGCCTCGCACGCCGACGGTGGTGCGTCTTCTACAGCTGAAGCAACTACCCTGCAACTTGAGATGAAATATTTGGCCTTCATCACCGGTGAGAAACACTACTGGGATGTAGCTGAAAAGGTGATGCAAGTCGTTGACAACAACGGTGCTAAAGACGGTCTTCTACCTATCTTCATCTACGCAGACAGGGGAACCTTCCGCGGCAACGAGATCCGATGGGGCAGTCGTGGTGACAGTTACTACGAGTACCTTATCAAGCAGTACCTCCAGACCCAGAAGCAAGAACCAATCTATCAAGAGATGTGGAATGAGTCGCTCAACGGCGCAAAGAAGCATCTTCTCACCTATACGAAAAACAGCCACTTTACTGTGTTAGGAGAGCGACCAAATGGAATTGAAGGGAAATTGCACCCCAAGATGGATCACTTGGTCTGTTTCCTGCCTGGTACCATCGCCCTAGCAGCAACCGGTGGCATTCCTCTCGCTGATGCGCGCAAGCTGCCCACCTGGGGCAAAGCACAAGAGGAAGACATCACCCTCGCCCGCGAGCTCACAAAGACTTGTATGGGCATGTACAAAGTAACCGCTACAGGTCTCGCGCCTGAGATTGCGTATTTCGAGCTGGACGACCCACCAAAGATGTACCGCACCGAGATCTTAGCATCCAAGTCTGAGCTCGACACCAGTATCCCCGACGGTGAAGGCTGGAAGGGCGATTTTGACCTCAAGCCAGCTGATACACACAACCTCCAGCGACCAGAGACGGTGGAATCTCTGCTATACATGTGGCGTATAACCGGCGACGACATCTACCGCGAATGGGGTTGGGACATGTTCGAAGCTTTTGTCAAACACACTATCGTAGAGGACAATGGTGGTTTCTCTAGTATTGGCGATGTCACAAAGATACCTCCTCCATCGCGAGACAATATGGAGAGTTTCTGGCTTGTAAGTACCTCCCCTCGCTTTTACCCTTCCCTTGTACATCAAAATAACTGAATTTGTTTACTAACACACAATGCAGGCTGAGACACTGAAGTACATGTACCTTCTCTTTTCCCCCAACGATCTCCTTCCTCTCGATCAAATCGTCCTGAATACTGAGGCTCATCCTTTCCCTCGCTTCGATGCAAGCCACAAGCGATTCAAGACGGGTTGGGAACGTATACCGCGGGATGATCAGGGCAACCTCGTGCCCAAAGAGACCAAGCCCAAAGAGGCCAAGCCTGACGAGAAGACAATTTAGACGCCATCTACATCTGACTAGAACACTTTGAGACATGTTATCGAGTACGCACTCTTCTAGCTTGTGGAGAGCAAAACCTGGGAGTTAGGTCGGAGCTGGTTGTCATGCATGGATGGCGTTAACACTCATAGAACAGCTAGTGACTGATATGGTATCAACATTGATGTAGACCGAAGTATTGAAAATCGTAGTCTGATTCGCCATGTACGTCTTTTTCGTGGTATGTATTATGTGCGTCTCCAGTAAAAGTACTCCGGTGCCGATGCTAACCATTCATATATTTGCGTAAACATGAAGCACATAAATCGTAAATCATGACCTACTCCGCCTGCTACCTCATTCAGACAGTATCCGACGCTCGCTTGTGCATTACCGAAGCGACAGGCGTAGCAAAGCGCAGCGCCTTCGTGCACACAGGTGCCCATAAAGTCTCCACGTAATGGAGCCAAATCAGGGATATTAGTCTGATGCAAATTTCAGTGGCTACTAGCGCTCCTGCGATTGTTCGTCGCCTATGCGTGGTGGGCTCTTGGAGTGGGCGGAGGGATTTCTAAAGGGCGAATGACTGCCTCTGCACGCGTGTTAGCTTCTCGTTCCCAATGGCATTGATGTTTCGGAAACATACGAGCGTCTCCGCTTTCCCTCGTCTCTCCTCTCCTCGATGACCTTGAGCATAGTTCTCCGTCCGTCTTTTGCGTTTATGTGTGCATCCCGCATGCTCATGCTGACCTTCTTGCTCGCATCGGCCCGAAGCAGCCTCTTGAGCAGCAAATGCCGCATAAGCACACAGACGAATACACCACAATCACTTCCGTTCTCTTGCTGCGGACTATCACTCATAGGGATGAACCGCAGTCGCTTTCCTAGTAGTTGTTCCAGCTTCATGGTTGTGCTTCGTGCTTCGCGCTCGTTGGACTGAGTCATGGAGTCGTAGTGGAATGAAACGCCATCGATGATGGAAACGAGAAGGAGGGACCAATGTGAGCCGCCTTCGGCTTGTGTGACGTCGGTGTTGTCGTTTATGGGGAGGAAGACGTGTGTTGTGTGAGTGAAGTTGGGGAGGACTTCTTTCAAGGAGAGGGGCTCGGCGGATTGCATGAGCATGTAGGACATGGAGGGGCGGAGGAGGACGATGGAGGCTTTGGGGAAGGCATTGAGCTCTTCGCGTTCGAGGTATTCTTGCCAGAAGGCGATGGCCTTGGGTCTATGTTAGCCCTAGTTGTGGTGTGCAGAGGGGTAATAGTGTACGCACATTGTCCGTGAGCCAGTCGTTAGACTTGATGCTGTCCAGATCGGCTCGCGTTACTGTTGGCAGCCGTCAGTACTACCGTCGTGGTCGTCAAAAGCACATGGAAGCGCAAGTCAAAGAACAGGTGACGCATACACACCCCTCACATCATGATCTGCCCTCAGTCAGTTTTTACCCTCTCACAGTCCCTGCGTCCCGACTCACAAGAAAGATAGGCCTCATCCGGACTGGGATCACCCAGGTGGCGCCTGGCCTTGTCCCTGATTCTCGAAAACGACCCAGGCATGCTGTAGGCGTTTGCGCTGTGACTCGGCGTAGGATCGCGTGGCACAGGCGTGCTATTAATTTTGTGCGAGGCTGCAACTACTGGCGGGGTATACCAAGGTTTCGGACCTCGCGGTTATACGAGAGGGTAGGGATGTTGAGTGTCTGTCTGCCTCGTTGCACGGTTGGATAGACGCGCGCTCAAATGGTGCACCTCGATTATGCGGGTGAAAAGCAGGGATGACGTATGCGTTTTGGCTAGACTGTGTGGGGGTGTCGACCAAGATAGTTCTGGGCCACCTCGGCACTTAAAGTCTCGCGGCGCGAACAGCTTTAAGCCATCGCAATCGTGTACCACGATTGCGAACTCCGCGTTCCCAGTATCATGTTGCTCTTGTCTGTTTCAACCGTGCTTGCATGTCTGGGTTGTAACAGTCAAGTCTAAGTATAGGACAAAGCAAATCCGACCATATAGTTGAAGCAGTGTTTTCTTTTTGTATTGCATTATTCATCAATCTTTTCTGTACAGGCCTGCGTTTACATCCTTGACAAGTTTGTCCTTGCCTTGGTCATCTATAGTCATTTCTGCATGCGTGAAGACAGGAAAGAGCACTCGACCCATCCTCTCAAGGCAGTTGTCCGACAATCTTGGCCCCGTTTGCCTGTTCTTGTTTTCCAAACTGCTCAGGCCTCTCCACCTTGAAAAGCCAGCTCTGCTTGTCTTCAATCTTTCCTTGCTGGATACCTTTCAGTGTCGTAAGAAGCTTCTTGCATACTGGGCCTGGTTCTTGCTGTGCCTCTGCATACGTGAACTTGTCATCCTTCGATGGTAGAGTGATGGATTTGATGGGAACAAGAGCCGCCGCTGTTCCTGCAGCAAGGACTTCGTCGAAGGACTTGAGTTCTTCATACGCGATCTAAAATTGTTAGCTGAGTGTAGCACGTTTGCAAAGCGAATATAGTACCTCTCGGGACTCGGCTTCCCAGCCAAATGATTCCGCAATCCTGAGGACGCTGTCTCCAGTCACACTCTGAATGACGTTTTTGCTGTTAGATGCAACAAGCTTGACCTTGTCGCCATCCTTCTTCACTCCAATGAATGCGGACGTTGAGAACTCGTCAACGACGCTTCTGGTCTTGCTGTCAAGGTGCAGGGTAATGCCGTAGCCTGCCTTGTACGCCTTCTCGCTATGTCGCAATACTGGAGCGTAGTTGCCTCCGACCTTTGCTGATCCAGTTCCCTCCGGCGCGGCGCGGTCAAAGTCCTCAAGGATGACGGCATCTACCGGGTTTGATCCATGGTAGACACCTGTTGGAATACAGTAGACTACGAATGTGTACTCCTGTGGCGGGTTCAGGCCAAGCTGCGCTGAGCTACCGAAGAGCAGTGGTCGGATGTACATGGCCGCCCCGGTCTCATGAGGTGGCACGTATGCCGCGTTCATTCCTACAGCCATACTGCAGCAGGCGAGGAAGTGGTCTGTCGGTACCTCTGGGATGGAGATAAAAGAAGCCGAGTGTTGCATCCTTTCGGCATTCTTGTTGGGCCTGAAGATGTTTATGGTGTTATTTGGTGCTCGGAAGGCCTTCATACCCTCGTAGCACTGCATCCCGTAATTCAGACCGGGTGCCATACCGTGGATGCGCAGGAATGGATCCTCGACAAAGACTGGGGGGGTCCATTTGCCGGTCTCAACAGAGTAGTGTGATTCAACATGGCCAGCGACTTTGTAAAGTTAGGAAGAGTTCGAAATCGTGCTGGTGGGTGACTCCACGGCGGGGTGGATATACGCAGTACAAACACACTTTGGGCGCCCTCACAATACCTTCTCGTGCATGTCCCAGTTTATGCACTCGCCGAGTTCATTCGCAACAGGATTAAGTCTTACCTTCTCGGATCTTGAAGCCCACATTGCTCCAGTCTGCAGTTGAGTTAGCGTGGGCCTTTGCGCTGCGTGGAACGTGCCGGCAACCCGCTCAGCGATTGACGTACCAATGGTATCGACGGGTGAAGGAGGAAAGTCTGACATGGTTGTGTTATTTGCAGTGAGTTACGGTGTCGTGTGCTGAAGCGCGAGCCAATATGCAGATTGGTCAATGGGCAATTTTGAAGTTTTGAACGCTTTCGGAGGACCAGCAAGCTCAGCCCTACTGCGATATCGGATGACGTAGACCGGTAATATCCCCCGGCACCCGTCGCAGCGTACCATAAGCTCATCAACTGCACTTTATTGATTTCCCATCGCGGAGAATGCTAATGGCGTTGTCGAATGCGAACTAGCTTCGATTGCACACATGTACCTGCAGATTTACCCGCATGGTGGGACCACTCGGGCGTGATGCTTCGAAGCCGCAAGCTTGGCGCTATCTGAGGCATCGAGTGCGTGGCCATAGATGACAGCCATTCGCATTCCACAGTGAACCATGGAACGCGTCTCACCACCTTGAAATCTCGTTTTCTCACCTCGGAGATCTAACCTAAACACTTCACCATGATGCGCATCAGTGGCCCCAGGGCCCGGTTCGCTCTCCTTGCTCTAGTCGTCTTTGCCCTGTGCTCGTTCGTGCTTGTAGGGCCCTACAAAGTAACGCCATCACATCTAGCACCAACATCGGTCGAGAAGAAGCTGGGTCGTACTAGCGAAGCCGTGCTCACCGGACATGCGATCGCGCCAAAGTTGGAGAATGCGACGGCAAAGTATGTGCATCACAGCCGCTGCGCAGACACCATGTACAGAACACGGGCAGACTGACAAGCAAACGCAGGGCAGAACTCGGTCGCGCCGCGTGGAAAGTCTTACACACGACCTTTGCTCGCTTCCCCGAAAGCCCTACCGACGAGGAGCAAGAGGCACTGCGGTCATACGTACACCTGTTCCAACGCCTGTACCCTTGGTATGTCTTACACCGCGTGGTGCACACAAAGGTCATGCGCAAACTGACTGGAATTGCAGCGGGGAATGCGCAGAGCACTTCGGGCAAGTACTCGCAAAGTATCCTCCTCAAGTATCGTCGCGGACAGCAGCCGCCATGTGGGGGTGCTACGTACACAATATCGTCAATAAGAGGCTGGGCAAGCCCGAGTTCAATTGTGAAGATATAGGTGATGCATATGATTGCGGTGTAAGTAGTATCCCTGTACGAACTACATATGAGACATAAAACTGACTGCGTACACCAACATCTAGTGTGGAGACGAGGAGCCGACAGCATCGAGCAAAGACACAGCTGCATGAGACCCCGGACCATGAAGCGCTAGGGTAGGGGAAGGATCACCAGGCAAAGCGCATAGCCCAAGAGGATACACTTGTCAATGTATCCTTTACGAGGGCCCAAACTCCATCTTGAAACACGTAAGACGGATTCGCATGCAAGGCGGGGTTGGACGGCACAGCGGACTTGAAATGCGAAATGCCCGAGACACTGTGCTGCGCAGAAGGGGGTTGCGACATAGTCACGATATCTCTATTTGCGGGTACTTGCTACGCCGCAAACGATGGCTAACGACTTGGAAGAGGAGTCAATAAGCCAATAGTCAAGACGATAGCTGAAAGGTATCGACGGAGCTCCTCCGGCCTTCCCGGCAGATCGCAGAGTTCGTCAGCCAGGTTCCACACGGCATGTCGAGAAGTGGCTTCGATGGTGGTGGGATGTAAACCGGACTCGAGATTGCCCTAAGCACACCCTAGCGAATGGCTGCTCAGTGATCAGCCTTCAGACAGGTGAAGCCCTGTCGTGGAGAGAGCCACGCAAGCAAGATGCGCGCCAAACAGCATGTCCTTATCAAGCCCGATAGAAGGATGATAGAACGAAGCATAGTACTCTACCTGCGACACCGTGCCCCTCTCCAACTCCCCAACCGTGTGTGATGGTCGTGCGTCATGGCAAAGCGATGCTACAGGTCGGCGATCCATTAGGAGATGACCATGGGCAGCCCACCAGTTCGGCGGGCGCGTGGCTTGGGATGGCAGCTATTCGCAGGCGCTAACAGGCTGCATGCAAGATGCGCGGTCGCATGATGTATTTCGGGATGGTCGCGAGGCGCGCATTGTCAGGGGCCTGTTCCCAAAGCAACTTAGCGCCATAACGACTTTTGTTGTATCCCAAACAACTGAAACCTTACCTGGGCCAGCGAGGGGTGATAACGACGCGGCACCCCCTCCATACACCGACTCTTCATCCTCTCCTCCATTGACCGTCTGCCAGCTGTTCACCGCTACTTGTCTATCGACCCTCATCTTTCCACCATGGTGTCCTTCTCCTGCGAGGTACTTACTTGAGCCCCATGTCCATATTCTCCCCACCATTGGCCCCTTCCCTGGAGATGCATTGAAGGCTTACTGTGACGGTCTAGGGCTGTGGAGACGTCCTCACAAAGAAGAAGCTTGACGGGCATCGTAACCAATGCTATGGCGCTTCCTTTACCTGCCTCGACTGCATGGTCCACTTCCCAGGAACCTCGTACAAATCTCATACGGTACGCATCATGCCTTTCTTGCCTACATGGCGACCCGTTGCTGCTAGAACAGCACGCTGCGACTGTTGCAACTTGTGCGCCCGCGTCGCGCATTGCGCCGTATTCGATTTTTCACCCTGCGCAGTCGCTAACTGACACATGGTAGGCCTGCATAACCGAAGACCAAAAGTACCAGGGCAAACTCTACAAAGAGAAGAAGAAGGGCCCGCAACAGAAGAGAGACAGCGCCTACCACGACAACTCTCAAGTCCTTACTCCTCACAACGCATCCGTCGAAGAAGCGCGCGATGATGACAACGCCGTCGCAGTCGTGGATGCCCCGCCTCGTGCGCCCACTCCTCCGCCAGCGGCGCACTCTCTAGGCTATCACCAGCAAGAGGCTATTGAGGCTCCTAATGTCTTCGATTTCCTTGACCCCTCGTCGACACCCAATGTTCCGAGAACGAGCGCGCCCATCAACGAAGCGCGCATGCTTGAAGATAGTCAGCCACCTGCATACGAGGAGCAGTACATGCCTACAATCGCCGACGTCATGAAGTTCCAGGTACCTGACGACGACGAGTCCTTTGCACAAAACGGCTTCTCGTACGGGAACGAGCAAGTTCGTCCTTCCAATGAGCGCTACGACTCATACACTCCCCCTGCCTCCAAGCCAAAGCACTCGGAAAACAAGTCGCGCGACACGGATGTTGAAACTACGTCGAAGAAAACCGATCGCAAGCGCAAGCGCAATTCGCCCAGTGAACTCGATATGTCGCTGGTCCGCGCCCAGGAGGAAAGAGACACTATGATGGCAGATGCGCCCGCCACGCTTCACTCTGGTCTCACTGGAGGGCTGAACAGACTGCTTGCCCGACCTGAGTTCCCACCTTCGCCGGATGACTCTGGTGACTATGTCAACTCGCCTCTGAGCCCCATGAAACGCGCCAAGCAGGGTAACTCGAAGGCTCTTATGCGCGCGCAGCGAGAATACGAGGCGGAGCAAGCTAAGCAGCGCAAGGCTGACACCAAGGCTCGTGAGCAAGCAGAGAAGAAGGAGAAGGACAGGGGCCGCGATAAGGAGCGCAAAGAGCGTAAGGCTAGCACTGCTCTCGTCAAGATCAGGCCCAAGAAGAAGCGCGAGGATTCTACAACTGAGGTTCGCCGAGTCCGCCGTCGGCAATACTCGTCTTCTGTGTCGCCACCACCGCGCGAGAGCAAAGCGGTCAAGGCCATTGAGTACCATCGTTCGGCAACAAACTCTCCGGAGCCAGATGGCCAAGGCCAGCTGATTGTGCGGCCTACTGGAGACGTTGCACCTATCTCCTCGCCTGCAGGACTGTTCATGTCCTTCATCACCAAGGGCCCAGACTCCGAGCGCGGCATGAGTGTCAACAAGGCTCTAAAACGGTATCATCGCGAGCGTCACGAGCACCATGCCCGCGCGCCCTCCAAGGCTGACGACGAGAAAGAGCTCTGGAAGGATCTACGTCTCCGAAGAAATGATAGGGGCGAGATTGTTCTATTCTATGCTCCTAACGAGGCTTCGTGACTAGACGGGGATCCGGATCTCGACATTATCGTCCGCATGCGCGCGTGGTCTTGTTCTGATCCGACACCAAGTCAGGGATCTGATGACATGATCGATGTCTGACTACAATGGGGGAAAAGGTAGCTTCGTGGTCGACTCTTGTACGATACCATGCTGCTCCATACGTTTCTTCCTTTTAGATGATACCCGACATCAAGTCAAAGGTTATTTCGGGTGGGCTCGGTGTATCTGCTCCTGTACATGTCTTGCTTAGGATTTGGCTTCTTCTGTTGTATCTCATATTCGCATGTCTTATTGTCCGCATATACGTACTGTCACGGCCATACTTTGTCTGCGTTGCTTGCTTTGGTATCTTTTGGCCAAATTACTTGCCCTAATACTCTTTTGGGCTGGACCCGCTCCGTCATTCCGGCGTTGGGTCCTCAAGTATAATTATGTTGAGTTCTGCAACACAGTCGCGTCCCCTCTCGCTTGGTGACTTGATGAAATGACTGTTGAAGGATCCTATCGTGTCATACCCGAGAAGTCAGGCATGCAGTTGTCTCTGCGCAATTGGCGATTTCAAAGCAGAGTACGTCAGTGTCGTGTTTGAGCCGAAGGGGAAGTGAGTGCGCAGAGCCGCAGACACATGCAAAGAAAGAGTGAGGCTCGCTAGCTACATATCTGTACGAGTGGAGTGCATGCATACCAGCACGTACTACTGCAGCATCTAGCGCAGGGACAAATCGATGAGCCCACGGCGCAGCTGCTCTGCCGGCTGTAAGGCACTTTGTTAGGCTGCTTCTTGCTTGGCGATGTGTAGGGCGTTGGTCTGAAGGGGTGTCATTTACTCAACACGGCTAGACGTTCGCTTGACCTGATCACCCCATCTACGTGTTCACGGTAATCTGGGGGAGGGCGTCAAGGACAAGCTCCCTCATAGCCGAGGTCAGAGATTCCGCGTAGCAGTCCTGCTATCGCGCGCGAAAGAAAGCAAGACACTGCATCCGAAAGGGTCAAGGTGTTGGTCCAGCTCGGCAAACGTAGGCTTTACCATACCGAAATGCCTCCGCATACCCAGTATAGGCAGCCGTCCTTTCTACACCTTACACAGCAACGTCTAACAGATGTCGAACTGCGCAACGGAAGTGGATTACTCGATTACCTATTGTAGAGGAACATGTGCACGGCCGGAGATTATTCGACTGGCCGCACCGCTCACAGCCACAATGAGGCGAAGTCTTTCCAGAAGCCTGCCTTCTTAGACATGGTGTACCAAAATCGCGCAAATGTGTCGAACCAGCCGACTGGCGCTAGGTTGCACGTCGCTCACGTCTCCCATGCTGATTCGATGTTAATTTGTTAGTGTACAGCGGGGAGAACTACCCGGCAAAGCACGGTGACAGGGCTACCACAGATTGAGTTGACCGGCCGCCACGCTGCAGACTCGCGCATGGTCAGATGGCACTGCCGACCAGCCCCAAGACATCATACCTTCGACACAAAGCTTCCAGCACCAACGGCCCGCGGCCATTTATATGCAAGTTCTAGTCATTGACTAATAAGCAGCTACAACGTGATAAGGCCATTGACGACTACTCGTCAATTGCCCTGGCGGCCTCTGATGCAAGGCAGTCAAGTCAGCCGCACCCTGACATTGCCCCAACTTGCGCGTGGAATATAACTTTGGCCACCTTGCAGCCTGGAGAAATTAATTGGTGTTACTCGGACAGCTATCGTCTTTCGGCGCAACATTCCAGCTTCAGTACTCTACACGCTGTCATCGCTCATCGCATGAGACCCTCAGCGAAGGGGTGAACCTTACGGCCTTCATCCACTCTTGGTTGTTCCTTGCCCTTCAGCCTGACACACAACACCGTTGATCCACCCGAAGAATGTCTCGCTTTCCGTATATCAGCTCCCTGAACGAAAGCTGGCAGGAGCTCGTTGATTGGGACGATGAACTGTATGACCCTCTTTTCCAAGGAGAAACCAGTTATACAAGGGCTCAAGAAGGCAGCTACGTTGTGAGCCACCAGCTTTCGGAAAGCTACACGTCCGAGCCTACATATTTAGTATCAGCACCTCCTTCGGTCGTTGACGAACCTCCGTCACTCGAGTATACGGTTTCCGGCCCGCCATCAATCCTAGATGGACAGTCATCGTTCGAACATGCAAATGGCACTTCACTGTCCTTTGACACCATATCAACTTCTCCGCTAGCTGTCCAAGCAGATAGTCAGTACTTTGGATCGTTTGGTGCGTGCGACAGCAGCCTCCTATCACCGTTAGGTGCTATCAACGACTCGCCCATCTTGGATACACGCTACGATCGTATCCCGGAAACCTTCACCCCTGGTTCTCTCGAGAGCACAACTGAAACCGTCTTCAACCCTTATGTTACGGACTCTTCCCATTCCTTCAGTGGTCTGGATGTGAGAGCCTCCCGATTGTTCTCGAATCTTGGTACATGGGCAGATCAGCCACGGATCATCGAACCGATCGCAGAAGATGACGGGGGCAGAGCAGAAGTCGAGCCGATTGCCATTCCAAATTCCTTTTCGCAGAACTACAATTCGGCACTGGCGTCTTATCGACGATCAGATGGCGAATATGAGCTACACAATCGCAGCAGAGCCATCACCATTCCTGATGCTACACCTGGACCTACCTACTACAACAATCGAACATCAGCCTCTGTATCAGTACGAAGACCTCCTCCTATACTCTCAGTATCGCCAGTAACTTCACGTTACCCTCGCGGTGTTGCTTTGTCTAGAAGCGCATCGCTTTCTCGACGCAAAGCCTCCACTCCGTCCCCCTCGCCTGACTCCTATGGCTGGGTGTCTTATCACCCGAACCCTTTGACGCACCGATTAGCACCCACGAGCACAGAGGGTATGCCAGGTCGGGCTCCCAAAGGGCGGAAGAGAGCCCTGACTGCTGAGCAGCGCCGCCATGCTGCGTTGATGCGGATTGTTGGCGCTTGCTCGAATTGCCAACGACGGAAGGAAAAGTGTGACCCTGGTACTCCGTGCAGAGCTTGTCTCGAACACTACAAAGGGGATTTAGTCAACCACCCTTGTCGAGACCATACTCTTGTTGACCTTTCTGCGGCATTCCTCTCTGACCGCCTAGGTTGGCATCCAACCACTCGGCCCTTGGAATCCTTCATTCCGGCTGGTAATTTTGAAATTTCTAAAGAAGCTACTTACACACTTCCTCTAAATTTTGGCTTCGGACCAACGTTTCCTGTCTCGGTACATGCCGTACAACTCAACGAAGACAATCCCCTCGTGCACGAGCACATCATTTACTCCTGGCCACCACAGCCCTACACCGGTCCTTCGCACAAGCACGCCGTTCTCCCGGCTGTGCTAACAGCTGATGCACAATACCATTTGCTAAATACATTAGACTCTCACTTGTCGCTACTAGTAGCGCATCACTTCCGTGCGTTCCCGCTATACTGCTCACCACTGAGGATCCTACGCGATATCTACGTCTTTTCGCGATCTATTCCAGCAAGCTCCCCTCACTACCGCATACTACACCAGGCACTCAAGCTTCTTGTGCTGGTGCACATTGGCGGTGATATAACGCTTCCATCACGCTCGGAGAGCTCCATGTTGGAGCAGCTCATCCGCAGTACCATGGATATACCCCAGGACCTCACTCCTACACCTTGCTTTATTCGTTCGCAATTTGGTGCGATCATGCCCGGCCTTGCTCTTAGCTTGATGAAGGATGTGCTCACATCATTGGAGCAACTTCTTTTGAACAAGGACTGCGACGAGTGGCCCATCGCTCTGGCTGTTCTTACCACTGTCCTGATGACGGTAGAGTCTATTCATTACCACGCTGCGAAACTGCCATATCATAACCGCTACAACGCCACACGCTCACCTTCTACTGAAGAGGACGTAGAGATCGACGATCATGGTGTGAAATCACTACTCGAATTTTATCGCGCGTGCTTCTCTGGTTGCCACGCCAGACTCAGACCAGACTGGGAGGGCGAGTCAATGCAGTCTCACCAGACAGGTACACCCGAAGATGCATTCATCCAAAATTTGCGGGAGGCAATTAAAAAGGCGGAAACATCGAACTACCTGGCAAAGAAAGCCAAAGAGAAGAGGCAAGATGAGGATATGGGGTACTTCTTCGACCGACTCGTCGCGCGCCTCTTTACCATGAGGCCTTGACGAGCAGACTTCCTTTTTCTTATGCTGTCTTCCAATGAGTTCTCTACATTTCTTCCAAGTTATGATCAGATGGTTACCGGCGTTGGAAAAGGTGCGATACCCAGCTTTATAGATCGACTGTACTTGTTCTTGGATTACTTGTTGGGGATGTTTGTATGACTGATGCGCCTATGAACATATTCTCATGATGGAACGGCTTCTCGACGACTCCAGTTCGCACTTTCTCCCCCTTCCTTTGGTAGCTCTGGCACAGAGTTCCCATTCTCAGACAATTCAAAGAATCGATCAATACTTCATTGCGTTTCGTGCATTGTACGTATCATGGACAGGAAGGCAGTTGTCTCGCTCCAGTGGTCAGGCTTTTACACCATACATCCGCTGTGATGCTAAGACGATAATCCACCTAACACCCATCCACAGTATTGCACAAGCCAATCCCAATACTACAAGCATGACAACAATCATGCGCCCTCGCATCTCGAGCGCATCGCCTATCTCCAGCTTGGCCACTTTCCTGATCTTTCTATGCAGATGCCACGACTTTCTCTTCTTCCTTTTCTTCGGTTTCTCGTCGTCTTGTTCGTCTGACCGGGGACCTATAGCGTCATGAGGCTCAACATGTCCAGTGGTCCCCCTTCTACCCCATTTCGAATCATCAGGATCTTGGTAGGGCTCTGGATCGAGCCAGCTGGACGGAGCGAGGTACGCGAGGAGGGAGAAGCTGAGTGAGTGTGCTTCTGTTCGGCGGGCGCGATTGCGGTAGTTGACGAGGAAGAGAGAGAGGAGGAAGGATGTGAACAAGACGGGCGTGAGTATAATCTTGAAGAAGTGTTAGGATCGCTCGCACTGTGTTGACATCTCGATATGGCTTACTCGTTTCAGAAGGGGTTCTTGGTCGTCGTTAAGCTCATTTGCTGGAGAAGAGGGCAGCGAGGGTATTGGTGTAGTTGCGAGTTGTTCAAAAGGATCGGGCTTCTTCTTTTTTCTCTGCCGTGTAGATGGAGGCGACGGTGGTGGGCTCGGGGGAAGATGCTGCATATGACGATGGTTGTGTGCTGCAGACATGTTGCTCAAATGAACTTGTGGACTGCAGCAAGCGCATCTAGACTCCAGGAATAATCATTCAAGGTTGTCGATCAGCGCATAATACCGAGAACCTGTACAGCAAGGTTGGTAGGTCTTTTTTGGCTAGGATTTTGGATTTGGAGAGATGAACATCAAGATTGTGGTATTCTTAGGTATGATGCGGCTGAGCTCGGAATGACGATGCGTGCCCACTATCCGTTCATAGGGCTGTTAGCTCGCGTCGACCCGTGTTCCACGCAAGCACCCTGAAAACGATGTCATAATGGGTCCAGACTACGATGCTGATAGCGGGCCCATTTCCTCCCGAACAAAGGTCCCCATCATGAACGAGGGAACGAGGGTCGCGGGGCCTCCCGCGGGGTAGAATACGCGTATACGGGGCACCAGGCAGGTGTGCAATCCGTGGGCACCGCCAAGTCGTGTCATATCGGTATTATCCGCAAACTCCATGTTTCGAGATCAACACAAGCATTAGCACAGCCTCGGGCTAGCCTCCAATGTATCCCGGAATCCATTCGCAGTCGTTTCTCGCATATTTGGCCGAATGGGGAACGGGATTTAGAGGAGCCCCGACTCGACCGAGTCGCCGAAAGTCCGCTCCAAAACACAGGATAAACTGCTGCCTGAAAAGCCTGGCTTTCTATAAGATTCTGTAGTCAGCAGTAGTGTTTTGACGGCCGTTGCGCGGCATTATTCAGCTTCCTTCGCTGACCTAATACACGGCCCTAACGGACGAAATCACCTCCGGACCTCCTCGTTCTGCTTTGAAACCCTATCACCACCAGAAGCTGACGTCTATCCTCTTGCTACTATTGACATCTTTTATCTCTTTCTCGTCAGCCTGATCCGTTTATCCCGCAGGAGGAATCGAGTTGCGGACGCGATTATATAACATCAAACTTCCGTGATCCGGTTTGCTCGTGCAGAGCCGAGTCCGGACGAATTTGTCGTAAGAGCTAGGTTCGCACGATCTGGGTGGTTGGAACACAACGAATCGAGATGCCAAAGGAGGAGACGTTGCCGACACGCAAAAAGATGCGTAAGGGTACGCATAGCTGCTTCGAATGTATGTGGATCCAGTTGTTGCCTCGCGTTGAATGATTACTGTTCACCATACTGCTATCCATCACTGTTACTCTCGTCTCGCCTGTGCATCACTACGCCAACCTCAATCTCCACTCTACGTCTCATCATAAGCATAATGTGAGCCTTTCTGATGTAATACAGGTCGCCGCCGCAAGATCCGATGCATCTTCCAACCCGACAACCCGGATGTTTGCTCAGAATGCTTCGCGCGCGGCAGCAGGTGCATCGACCAAGAACATGCCAACCCAGAGGTCATTGTCGATCATAGGAAGAATCTTCGTGAACGAGTATCGCGACTGGAGGCCTTGGTTGATACGTTGCTTGAAGACAAAACTGTAAAGTCAGAAAGCCGCAGTCAAAGTCAGAGCGTAGTGGACACTTCATCACCAAAAGCGCCCACTATCTACCACAAGGATACATTTCCACCCACTCCTCTTTCTTCGGAAGCTTCATCCAACGTATTCCGATTGCCGGATAATCAGCGTGCCGCTTCGGACCGAGGTCATCACATACCGATCCTCTCTGTATTCGAAGATGCAGTATGTATCTCCACTCTTTGAACCCGATCTGGAAGCTTATGATCTACAGTTGAACGATGCTGAGGCTCAAGCGAAAGCCCGCAATGGCCCTGCACAGAGCTCAACACCAAGGCCCGGCCAAGCGGCTGACGACCGGTACACTGTGGAAAACAGACACGATGACGACATCGCGGCTGGAAACACCATCGCGCATTCTGCCAAACGAGAGAAGTCCAAGCAAGCACTTATTGCCATGCTACCGCCTTACGATCAACTCACCAAACTTTTGAATTCCAACAGTGACTGGTGGCAGACATGGCGGAGGAAATGCAGCGGCACATCTGGTCCTGAGCAAACACTCCCTCAGTTTGCTGCTCAGGCTCTGACAACTGGAAACATCGGAGCTATTGCTACTGTTGTTTTGTCGGTTGGTATATGCTCATCAGAGAACGATGACGATGTCGAACGTTACATCGAGGCTGTGGACCGATGGTTCCTGTCTGACGACGAGTATGCCGCAAGCTTAGAGGGTCTAGAGTGTCTGATCCTGAAATCCAAGTGGTACGCGGATGTAGGCCAACCACGAAGGGCTTGGATCGCATACCGGAAAGGCTTAATGTATGCCCAGCTCATGGTAAGTTCATGCGTTCCTAGATTGCCGTCCAGCATTGACTTATACGAAAAAGGGACTGCATCGCAAGCGCACATGCTCCGCTCCACACGAGAGCATCTGGTGGGCTATGTACCATGGTGACCGTTTCTTGTCCCTCTTGCTGGGTCTGCCGTACGGGATTAGCGATGCACACTGCGACTTGACTATGCCTGAGATTAGCGAAGGCCCTTACATTCATCCATTGATTGGCATCACAAAGCTCTCACAGCTCGCAGGCAGGGTCATCGATCGAAACCAGGGAGTTGCCGAGCAATCTTTTGCCTGGGCGCTACAGCTGGACCAAGAGCTCGAGGACTTGTGGAAGAGGTTTGATCCAGCGTGGCTCGACTACACGGAGTTACTTGCTGACGCGGAATCGAATGCGGCGGAATTGCGAGAGCGAATCATGGGTCAAATGATCTTCCATCAGATCCGTGTATACCTGCACTTGCCCTTCATGCTCAAGGCGGCGTCAAATTCGCGCTTCTCATACTCAAAAACTGCATGCTTGAACGGCTCGCGAGAAGTCCTACGGTTATATCAATCTCTACGAACCGGACACATCCAGCCACTCTACGAGTGCAAGGCCATCGACTTTATCGGTTTTACGGCCGCAGTTCTTGTCATAATCGGTCTTCTCAACTTCGGCATGGTCTCACAGTCTTCGAGTAGCGGTCCCACGCCCAAGGATATCGAAGAAGACGTACGCCTCATCGAGGTCAGCATCGACATCTTCCATCGCGCGTCGAGCGAAAAAGGAGGCAAAGTAGCCGCGCAATCCGCACAGGTCCTCGAGAAGATGTTGGGCAAATTCAAAGGCACGAGCCTCGACCATGAGGGATGCGGCGACCAATCCGACTTTGTCATTCCATACTTTGGTACCATCTCTATCAAGAGAGGGGGCCAGTTAGTCAAGAAGATGCCACCGGCTTGTTCCCCCAGCATGATGAGCTCCAGGTCACCAGCTACATCGGCACAACTCTACACACCCACGTCGGAGAAGCCGTCGCAGTCTTCTGCGTCAGACATCTTCTCGCAACCTACACAGTCCCTTAATGTCACGCCAAAGACGTCCATCTCCGCTGGCACCGGTACCTCGGCTTTCAATCTCACCGATGCGTCGCCCTTTGTCTCATATGATGGCTTCTACAATTGGAACAACATCAACGCAGACGACGCGTCGGCAACAGGCGCTGGTGCATCAGGCACGTTCAACTCACAGATCAACGACGATAGCATGAACAATTTCCCTCTCCCAACGAACAACTTCTCATGGCAACACATGCCCATGGATATCGATCAGGATTGGTCTTGGTTTTTGAACGATGCGCAAACGACGCAAGGAATGGGTACCGCCGGCGGTGCTCCAGCTCCCACTGTACCGCTTGACTTCAATGCACAAGGTTTCCCTGGCTTTGGTTAAGCGATTTATATAAGGGCTGGCGTTTACTGGGATGCACGTACGTTTGCTATGAAAGACTAGCTATGTGCGAGAAAAGTGGAGGGCAATGTAAGATATTAGAAGCATCTGGACAGGCGCGTCCATGAGTTCAGTTGGGTTCAGGTGGTATGGTTATTCAAGGTGTTTTTGATATCCTGGCTACCTAGATGCCACTTCACTCTCGCTGACAGTGTGCGAGAGAATTGATTTTTTCTGTTTACAAAATGACTCAAGTCCATGAAGCTGTGCCTACAAAGTCCAGATGACAACCCTTCCGTCCACGCCAGTAGAACTGATCTTGGTGACACCGCTTCCACTCTCCTCAAAGCTACGGATAGTGTTGATGGTATTCTGGTGGACAGTCTTGAGCTTGGTGTCATCCGTGCCCGACTTGCCCTTGAGATCCATCTGCCTGAACATGTTCAGTGCGCTTTCCTCACGCTGGTCAGAAAGACCAGGTCGGCTCTTGGCCTCCAGGCTTCCAGCAAGCTTCCAGCCAGACTCGTCGCCCTGCAGACGATAGGCCTCGCAGTTGTATCCAGCAGCAATGATTTCAGCTTCAGAGGTCCAAACTAGGGACATGAAGGGCAGCACTTGAGTGCTGACACTAAGGATGGCACGGGGGGCCTCCTCAGGACCGCTAGGGTAGACGACGGTGAGGGTGCTGTCGTGGGATGCGAAAGCGAGGGCGTTACCCGACGGAGAGAAGGCAACGCTGTGGACCCAACCTGCAGTGTTGTTCAGGTACTCGCCGCACACGGTATTGAAGGGTAGACGCTCCCCCCATGCTGAGGGCTCTGGACGCTCGTCGACGCCCTTGACAAAGGAAGAGAGTACACGAGCATGTCCATCGGTCGATCCTGCAGCGAGCAAGACAGAGTTGGGGTGCCAGGATACACAGGTGATGGTGGAGCGGATGGGCTTCTTGATGTGCTTGGAGACCCACCAGTTGTCCTCCTCTTCGAAGTAGCAGACGGGGATCAGGCGAGCACCAGAACCGACTGCGAACTTGGTCTCGGAGGGAGCCCAGCGAACACAGGTAGCAGCGCGGTTGATGCGGAGAAGCACCAAGGTAGGCTTCCATCCCTGCGGTGACGGCTCCCAAACGTAGGCATTGCGATCTGTCCCATTGATTAGCTGCCTGTTGCAAGCCAGCCGATAGCTCCAAGCTTACCCTGCGAGCACGTCACAATCTTGCCAGAGTTGGGGGCAATGTCGACACCCGTGACTGTCTTGTCGTGGCCTGTCAGCTCATCCTTGAGCTTGTATCCGCTGCCCGTCTTCTGGAAGAGGTCGACGTTGTTCTCGCGGGCTACAGCGAGCGTCTGGCGGTCGGCGGAGAAGGAATGGTCCGCAATGGGGTGGTGGAAGAGGTGGTGGACTTCGGGGCCGGACATGGTGGAGGGGATGGTAGGCGTGCTGTAGGAGACTCTCTACTACTGCCAGTTGGTGTTTTGGGCTGTAAGCTTGTGGAGCTCTGGGAGACTTGGTGACGTGGGGCTGCTGGCCGCCGTGCTGCGGGTGTTTAGCGCCGTCTTGGCTTTCCCGAAAATCACGGCGACTGCAGCTTCGACATCAACGCGAATTGGGGGGGTTTTTGCTGCGCGACACGCAATTCCGCACACAGTATGTTGTATGCCAGTCCTTGATGTATGTATTGATGCTGAACATGTAGCAGCAGCCGCCATCATGATCCTCAGACGCCCTCTCCTCAATGCGACCTCCGCAGTGTCAGCATCCAAGACATGCGTGCGGAATCTCCAGCACTCAATCCCTATGCGCCCTGTCCCGAAGCCAATACCATTCATTCCCGACCATACCGCTTTTCTCAGCGCAATCGGTCGCGGCCTCTCCGCACACGCAACCAAGATACCGTCCTGGGAAGCCCTCTTCACACTCACATCACCGCAACTGAAGGAACTTGGTGTAGAGCCAGCACGCTCAAGACGCTACCTGTTACAGTGGCGAGAGAAGTACAGGAATGGCGAATATGGCATCGGAGGCGACTGCAAGCACGTTACAGATGGAGTGGCAGAACTCAAGGTTGTAGAAGCACCAGTACCGCCAAATCCACAACTCGGCAACACCATAAGTCCTCGCTCTGCGGCTGCAACAGCCACACATGACCCAGGAACGAGGAAACTGGTTGTCAATGTACCAGTCGGCGCCGAAGCGCCAGTCGAACCCGTTGAGACATTACCCAAGGTACAAGGCATTATTGTAAAGGACGCCAAGACGATCAAGGGCAGCTTTGTGGAGCCAGTCAAGGGAAGTGGAGGTCTGCGAGCACGGATACGACTGCAAGAGGGCATCTGGGAAGTAAGGAGGGGACACAAGGTCGATGGTGGAGAGAGAAGAAAGGCAGAAGTACGAGCCAAGAGAAGGGCGGCGGAAAACAAGGAGAAGCGGGGTTGATCTGGTATGAGAATGTGAGCGAGTAAATACCGATTCTTGTACAATGAGTATTATTAAATGTGAAAGTACATGTTCCATGTCAGAGACCATCGACGGCAGTTCAGGTACTCCATGACCTGTACAACCACGGCCCAGATAGCCCTAGCTCACGTCGTTGCATGGTTCAACCCACTGCCCAAATATGCTCACACTAGAACTTGATCAAGTGCTTGCTTCTCATTCGGAGTGCATACGTATCCTACTGGGAGCCGTGCCTTAAGAACAGAGAAGCTGTCAGACAATTTGACAAGGTGTCGAGAGAAAAGTAGCGGGCTAGGATGATGTCGTTCAGGACGGCATCATCTCGTTGCAAAATACTCAAGGCAGTCTAGACCGAACTGAGTTCATCTAGCAGGAAGACATTATCACATGCCGAAGTGACGCGGCGACACCACATCCTGCAAAACAGCTTGAGATGGCAAAGCTCATAACAACGATCCTGCTTTCAAGTCAGCGAACTGATCCTCAACCTATAAAGACTATCGAAAATGCCCTGCAATAGCTCAGGGAGTAAGTTTTCGCACACCAAAACCACGTGTTCGGGTTATCTGCTGCGAAGTATCTGGGAAGGCGCACTCGTGGGAGATTAATCCATGAGGGACGTCGCATCATCTTTGCTAGTAAAAGGGTTTAGGGGACGTGATCAACTATACTTACTAGCTTTTGCAATATACAGCAGTCATGTCTGGTCTTCACTGCCTACATGTATACATGTAATGTGAGCGAAGCTTCTCATGTACCTGGTTTATGAGACGCAAGCTTGGACTAACGAGCGTAGATGGAGCACCGTCAATTTTTGGATAGAGAAACAAGTCGATTGTTGTCTCCCACGACCATCTGGTATGGAAAGGGGTACGTGTATACACGAAAAGACTTGTGGTTTGCGGGTGGATGTTGAGGTCGTGGTTGCCTATCCAGATATGTGACATCAAGCGGATACGACGCTAGTCCCAATCGCGAACAACGTTGTTCCTGTTCTTATCTCCCCCAAGACACAGCAAAGGGCTGAGCTGAGAAAGACAAGGGCACCTAGACCCTTTAGCACGTCTCCGGAAATGGCTGCATACTATTGACTGCGCCCCTGCCGCACCGTTGTATACGAAGGCCAAAAAAACTAGCGCCCGTACTCCCTTTTCCACCTCAGCTGCGCCATGGCAAACGATAACGCCTCCCGTTCGTTGCCGTTGCCGTTGTCACTAAGACAGACTCACCCCACCATTAGGCCAATATGTCAGTGAGGGGGTAAGTTGAGTTAGATATCCGGTTGCGTGTTTATATGAACATAAACACATGGGACCTTGGCTTTGCTTGATGGTAATATATTCTCTACCTCATCTGCTCACCATTGGGCTTTCGCTTTCCTCCAAGATCTAAGAGTTACGTTGTATATACAAGATGATTAGGAAATTGTTTGTATGGCGAACAGGCCTTTGATGCTGATAGCAAAACTCCTTGTATGCAGAACGCAAGGAGATCGAGAACGCCATTGTATGCAAAGAAAGGGATTAACCAGTGATGTGTTCAGCTCAAAATCGCGCTGCATGAGTCTTCGTATATCATCGACCTTTTTCTGTCCTCTGTCCTCTGTCCTCTGTCTCTCTATCCCGTCTCCTTTCCTTTCTGTTGATTATACCATTATTCCTTCAGCTGTACAATGTGATATTAATACTTTCTGATTGCTACTAGTGACCACTATAGCAACCAGCACTAGCGATGTTACACTACGAGCTCTTGCCCGCCTCGAAAACTTTGGTCATGAAGTCGTCGACATCAAGGTCAATCTTCTTTTCCCGCAGTATCTTCGCAACTTGCGCCGCGTCACCTTCCATACAGCTGCCTTCTAGTATACTAAGTATGGCGACTGCAGCCCGCGGAAGGTTCTTGTCGCCCTCGATCGTGTATATGTCCATGATGCGCGCAGCATGTTCGACACCCAGACGACCGCAGAACAAGGAGCCGAGTGTGTGGAAGAGGTAGTCTCTGGGTTCGACTCGCAGCGTCTCTAATCGTTGTGCCAAACTGGGTGCTTTCTTCGACAGAACGTGAAGGGTTGTGGAGTAGGCGGCATGTATGGCGTTTTGATCGTGGATGAGGAAAGACAGAGGTAAAGGACGGTTGAGCAGGTTGCACAGAGTGATGAAGGCTTGCGGCGCGCCTTGGTTCAACAGGAGCAATGCGGCGATGTGATGTATGTCGAACTTTGAGTGCGGGATGTCTGGGCGGTACATCGAGTAAGCTAGGCATACATCGACAAGGTCTCGATGTAGCGGTTGCTCGTCCTGTGCCTCCTGTGATGTCCGTGCGGAGAACATCTTGAGGTCCGGGAACACGGCCTGGGTGCTTTCGACAATGTAGACATAACGGCCTCCGAGCGCTTCGTGACCATGCGTCTTGACTTCTTTGCGTGCTTTCTCCAAGGCAATGTTATACGTTGCTTCCGTGACCTCGAGATCATTTCCGATTGCCATCTGCCAAACCTGGCCTCGCAACCGTGGTGGGATTCCGTTCCACCACATCTTCCTGTGTGAGGCGCGAAGTTCTGGATTTGTCATCTCAGTGGCCCAATTTGGTAACAGTAAGCTCGACCAGTACTCTGCCTTGATGCGAGAGGCCTTTTCACGAGCTATGGCCTCTTCTTGGGCGCGTTGAGCCTCGAGACGTTCTGTGACTGTTAGTCATGTGATTCTCTAGGTCTCAATTTGAAGGCATAAATGACTTACCAGCTTCCTCGATGCGAGCCAACATGCGCTGGTACTCCTTGAGGTGCTTCTTCTCTTCCTTGGGGTTCTTGGGAGGAAGCCATGAAGGTCGGGTCCGCGAGAGATATTTTTGCTTCTCAACCGATGGCTGAAAAGGATCGATCAGAGGATCGCTCTTGCGGACGGGTGGGAGTGCCGGCTTTTTGCTCTTGGGTTCTGGCTGACTCAAGGATGCTGATCGTGTAAGACCAGGCTGTTGTCTCGAAATTTCTTGCTTTCGCTCCTTCTCAGATTGGAATTCTTCCAGTTTTCCGGTGAGAAACTTGGCATCTGTGTCTAGTGCTGTGTACGTCTCTACCCACGTGTTCTGCTGTGTCGCCGACTGCGGAGATACGCCTCTACTGGAAACGTTTGGGGAAGGAGTCCTCTGGGAAACGCGCGATACAGAAGGCGCAGGAGAAGTCCTGGACGACCTTGAAGACGAGGACACCAAGGCGTCAGGATTGGGTGACGCCAAAGGCGGGCTCTCGCCAACCCAGGACTCGGGCGACCGATCCATGGTGGGACGTGGCGAGATGGGGATATTCCAAATGACAGCATCCTCGGGAAGCTCATCGTCTTCATCGTCGCACTCAGCCTCCCTTTCCTTTACAGTTTTTCTTTTTGAGTCCTGCCACGACGCCCTCCTCGAGCCCAAACCGGGCGACGGCAAAACCTCGTTCCGAGAGCTTTTGCGAGACAGGGTGCGCGGGGCTGAAGCAGATTTGTGCGTGTTGGATGGGGATGGTGATCGGGAGGAGCGTTGAGGGGCGGGGAGGCTCAGGCTCGAGAGGGATGGGACAGAGGGCGAAGTGAAGCCTCTCCTGGCCTGTTGCTTGCCTGGGGCGGAGAGCTGGGCCTGTTGTCGCACGGCATGGTTGACGGGGCCCTTCAAGCTCGGGTACTTTGGCTTGGTTGCGCCGGTCAGGTCGCGGAAGGAGTGGGCCGAGTGGGAATGCGGGAGGCTCCTGTTAGAAAGCGAGGCTCGCGGGGCTTCAAAGAGGATGCGATTAGACGGGCTCGCAGGCATGGGGAAGGAGGAGGGCCCACCTGATGCTTCATCCAGGTTGATGTCCTCAAAGTGCGACAGGTTCTCTGTCGTGCCCATGAAGTCTAGGAGGGTGGACGAGTGGATGCTGGACGACTTGGACGACTTTGAGTTTGTGAGGTCCGGCGGGCTGCCAGGCGGAGCGCCAAACGTTTGCTGGGCATCTTGGGCGTAGGTGAGGGTGGCCATGAGCGGTCGGGGCGGTCTTCGCTGGGTGGAGAGGCGTAGTGGTATGCCAATGCGGTGAGGAAGTCGCTGTTGGTTTGCGCAGCTATCGTCGCGCTCGCAAGGGGCTTTGATCAAGGCAGGCACATAGCTTTGCCCGGAAACAATATACAGCGACTTGTCCTGCGAGATGTAGTGCACGTCGGCGTCGGAAAAGTCGTCGTCTCCAGCTTCGTAGACAGGAGGCAGTCGATGTTGATGTTGCACCGCCGGCATCTTCGTCGATTTGGCGACGCAATTTGCGGAACTTGCGCTAACCCCTGATGTCGGGGGACAGGGATGGACTCCAATGGTGGGCCTCGCAGTGCTCTGGACCCGTCAGCGGCGCAGAGTGCCTTGGACGAGTTTAATTGCAAGCAGCGGACGAGTCTATGTTGGGAATGGGAACTGGCATGGGGACAAAGGGTGAGAATCTCTGGCGATATGCCAGATGTTACTTGAAACCACAAAAACGAATACGGGGAGGACTGAGGCAAGTATGCTTCCCCAGCCGGCCCTTGTTCAATGCACCTAGCAACGCGTTTTACGAAGCTGTCCAGCTGTTGGAAGCCTGCATAGTTGACCCCGGCTTGATTGGGATGGGGGTTGGTGTCCCAGCCGTCGCATCTACGCTTGACATCACGATACCACTTCTTGCCGGCCAATCATCTGCTAGGCTCCATGCTTATCAGGCCCAAGTAACGACCCGTCTCTACACTACCGTGCTTTGCTTCAATAGCATAGCGTTCCAACATGCAAGAAAAGACGAATAACGACATCATCCTCTCTGCAGTCCATCCGTCACTCCCGAAGCTGCTGCAGCCAAGGCCCAAGGCTTGCAGTCGCGCCCACATGCCGCCGCTAAACGTGGGCGCTGCGTGGGCCCCCGGCACAGATCCTTAGGTTGCTTCTTCCCGAGTTCCTGATCCGTCACCTCTCCCAACATCGTCTTGAAAGCCTATCCTGCAACTTCTTTCTTCACTCCACTTGATTAGTGCATTAAGCTTTCAATGCCAAGTAATTGCCTTCTCCAGCATCTGTCTCTCTGCCATGTCAGAAATGCAACAAGCCGACAGAGACCTTTTCAGCCAGGCTAGTAGCGCGCGGTGCTGTGTCTGCCTGCGCTGAAACACCGTCTGAAAAGCTTTACAAGCCAGCCTATCCCTCTAAATTAGCCCTCGTTGGAAACAGGTAAATACGAGCCCCGCCATGTCATCCTCCAAACCGTGGAGTCGATCTAGCCAAATCGCAGATCGTGCATCCACCCGCATAACTTGTACGACATGGAAGCTTAGCCACACTTACCACTGAAGCTGCCGTCGCGAAATGACGCCCTGCGCAATCTCTGCCTCTCTGCTGCCGCGCCATCGCGAACGGCGCTGTAGCATCACATAGGCTAGCGCAATCATATTATCTACCGTCCCTGCAGTTCCCTTGTCAGCAATTTCCTTCGCTAGCGTAACCGAGCGCAATCACGATCGTCCGTGGCGCAAACTGTGCTCGCTTTTGTGTTATCTGACCATCATCCATTCCACGCGCTGCCTCTTACTGGGCAGCCCTGCATGCGCATCTTGATGGATTTGGACTTCAACACTTCAAATAGGAAAGTTTAGACGTACTGATAAGCAGATTCGAACACGTCGTCCGCACTTTGGATAATGCGCGTGCGTACTCGAGGCACCTCACCGCCGCTTCAACAAAGCTTTGATGCAGATTCGCTAGTACCGTTGCCACGCTGTTCAACGATTGATCGATCAACATAGCTTTAAGCTGGATTTTAAAAGCGCTATCAAATATCAGCAAAATATTGGACCTTTATTTCCCGTCCCTAGCCTGATTGGCCGGACCTGTATACCGGGTATTGACTTACTTGAGAGCTTTGCGATGGAACGTTTGGCCGGGCATTTTGGTCAGATCTACAGTCAGAGAGTCCTCAACACCTGGACTAATTAGCCCTTGACGGTCATCAATCCAAAAGTATACATCCAATGCGACGTACCGGTCTTCGTAGGGCGCTCTGTCTTCTTGCTGATCTCCAACGTCGTTGTATCGATGCAGACGCCGCAGTACGGGAATTTGCCATCTGAGCCGCTTGTTGATATCCGGGTCCCCTCCTCTGTCATCACGTCAAAGTTCGCCAATGACTTTGAAGGCTTGATTACTACGCCGTATTCTGGATGGTCATTGTGCATGACACGTACGAAGCGCCGCGCGTACTCTTCGTTGATACTGATCAGAAGAAAGTCATCAAGCAGACGAAGTAGCAAAGAGTCGTCATCAAGTGCGAATCCGAGGACATCGCGTTCTAACTGAGCATAGAAGAAGTTGCACAGGATGCTCGACAAAACAGACCCTTGGGGTATGCCCGTCTTCTGGCGATAGAAGCGCTTCCCGATCTTGACAACATTTCTCTCTATGTGCTCCTGCAGGAGCTGCATCAAATCATCTTTAGTCTCATGCCGTTGTAAGTCGGTGTTGACAAAGATAGTGTTGGCCTTTTTGCCTGCCAGCCTATCTTGCACCAGTTGATTGAAAGGCGTTATATCCGTTGCTGCATCAGTGTGCGGAATGTACTTTTTCAGTGGCATTGGATCCACATGTTTACCATCAAGGCGTTGTAGAGAGGGAAGAGGAGATATCTCCACATGTTTGCCCGTCTTGTAAGCTTGGATCGACATGAGACTGTCGATCATACGCAGTAAGCGTGACTGCGGTATGGTATCGAAGCAAGCCTGCACGTCAACTTTGGCAAAATAAAGCCGAGTGTTGCCAAGTCCCCGTTGTCGCAATGAAGCCTTAAAAGATGCAAGCCTGGGAAACATATCCCCGACAGAGAACAGTGAGCAGCCAAATTGTTCGGGCCGTAGTGACTACATCTGGTTAGCGCCGACAATGTCGTCAACTTTAGCAATATACTGACTTTCTCATAGGTGATCGCATTAAAAGCCGGTGTCATTACCGCGTTTATACTTCGACCAAGCATCGTAGTCCCATACCGCATTACTTGCTGTCTTCTCTTCAGGTTCATGATAGTCCGGAAGCCTTGCCTCTTAGGAAGAAGACGAATGTTACTGAAGCCGAGCTGACGTGCAGACAGCAGTCTTTCTGTGCTTTCTGTCGGCATTTCTTCAAACATGTTCGTACGCAGCTCCAACAGAGCAGGCTCTGCCAATAGTCGCCAGACATCATGGCGGAAGTAGAAAAGCCTGTTCCGGTGTGCATTGGATTCGGTTACATGGAAGTTCGTGCGAACCAAAGGGATGAGGAAAGAGTCAAAGAGCCAGTAGACGAACTCAAGAAACATCTCTGTGCGTTTGCTCAGGTCGGAATTGGAAATTTTTGTGTCGTCGTTGTGGCCGGGTGGGCGCAGCCACGCTATTTTCGTGATCTGGGATCCGTCAGCACAATTCAATATTCAGGTAGAAGAGTGCAGACCTGTATATTCTGTGTGACCTGATGCAAATTGACCGACTCAAATCTTCGAAGCTCTATGAACTGGTCTACCCAATACATGAGATTGCTTTTGTTGTGTTCGTTACCCCAGAAGCCTTCGGGTATGACCTTAGAGATGACTGCACGACAAAAAGCTGAGACGTGTGCCGCTGGACACGCAAGATCTGTGAAACATGTTTGCTGAACGGTGCGAGTTTCGGACGTATACTGACTCTTCTTTTCACAATTAGTTGTCTTTACGACCGGCTGGAAAACGCTCTTCCTCCATTCTGGCTTCGTTGACAAAGGCATCCCCTGCCTGCGTTAGCATGATTTCTCAAAACACAGATCAGTCAGTACGTACCTCGATTGGAGCGTAATGTCGAAGCATTTCCATGTACGAACACCGCTGGTTCCGCACTCGAAGTTTCTCAACCAACCTGACAGCGTCACCTCGGAGCCTCTTGGGCGTTCGCTGTTTCCATTTGACTATCTTCTCAGCATTGGTAGCTTCGCTACCCAACTCCCGGCACATTCTACTGTGTATGTCTTTCTCGCGCAGCGTGTAATCCATGAACGGCATGGCGGTCTCACGCGGATCTACCTTGGAGGTGAAGACATTGTGCAAGCCGAATTGACGGGGAAAGATATACCGCATGATGTGTATCGTCTGTTGCTTATCTTCCCGACTAGGAAAACGATTGAGAACATCTACCGGCCAAGTCAGGTAATTGAAGCATCCGAAGGATAGTAGAGAACGCACGAATGTGGCGCATGCCAAACCTTACACCACCTTTGGCATTCAGGGCCGCTTTCGCATATAACATGCGACTCCGCACAAACGTGATTGTACCTGCTGTTTTACATTCGCTTTTGACACGTGAGGAATTATTGACGGCTTCGTAATCCGCATCGACTCTTACGGTGTTGCTCTTCTGAAATCCATCCGATTTTATCTCAGAAATGGGCACTCCAGACAATTGGTAGTAGTTGCCCATATCTGCATTGAGAGGAATGAAGATAGAGGACTCCAGAAGCATATCTATGATGATGCGATCGCCGCCCTGACCGAGTAATGCGTGCAATCGACACCATACTGGCTCTTTCAAAGTCTGCCTGTAGCTGTTGGGTTGACGCTCTTGCAAATTAGGAATTGAAGAACTCGGATTCCTATTATTGCCCTGTTCACGGCGGGTGGTTCCAGTTCTTTGAAATCCATGACAGAGCAGGTGCGTTGGCTTGTGAGCTGTTGAGCGCTTGAATAAGCGCCATATCACGAAATCGACAATCTGTATTCACTCAGTAGGCATTCCATAAGTGTAATCCTGGAAGCATGTGATACATGCCACGACCTACCTCAGATTGCATATAGTACCCAGGATTGAAGGTGCTGCCAGGGGTACTTTGTGAGCGCTGTTGGGTAAATGCCCTGATATCCTTTTCCCGCTCTTCTTTGAAACCTGTATGAGCACCTGTGTCTGCGTTCACACTGGAAGTGCACACTAATGTTGAATCGAGCAACTGTACTACGGCGGTATCGAGATGATTCTGACTTATGCCCGGGGCGGATGTTGCATGTCCAAGCTGCGAGATCTTTCGCTGTCTATTTTTCGATGTGCTTGGTAGTTTGGATAGCAAATATTGGCGCAGGGTAAGCACCACTGGATAGAGACGTTGTAGGACTGGATGAGTAGCGTTGGTGAAGGATCGGTCCACATCGCGTCTTGCTTTCTTGCAGGTTTCTCCACCGCTTTGAGCACTGCCTTTCCTCTTCATACTGAACTATGCACATGTATTGCATGTCCGATCGCGTTGTTGGTGTTCGTGGCCCGAGGGTGGTGTTTGTGAGGTGTTGGATTGGGTTAGCCCTGACGCGACAGCACGCGCCATCGCGTGACTTGGACTGGCAGTTACAAAACCCGTCTTGCATGCTATCACTATGCAACCCGTTGTTTCACGCTGACTCCAAGTAAGGAATCTTTACAGCGACATTTAACCCAGCAACGAGACATACTTTGAAGCAGCATGGAATATATATTGTTTTGGAGCTATGGGTTTATCTATACGCAGGCCTGAGAACCTCCCAGTCACCACCCATGTTGCGCATGTCTTCCGGCTCATCATCCATCAAACTCCTGCCTCCTCGACCACCACTCCTAGTGCTTCCACCGGTACCAGTGCGTGGTGGCAAAGCTGGTTTCTCGAAATCATCATCGATAAGATTTTGTACCGGTTTCCTCGTTAAATTAGGTGGCGGCGCCATTGACCGTCTGGCTGTTGGTTGTAGGTGTGCTCTCGATTCTTCCGGAGGGTCGTCGCGATATCGTTGTGGAGGAGGTGCGTATGACGGCCCCGGCGAGGGACTCTTGGAGAGAAGTGAAGGTTTCTTGTTAGGAACTGGGGGTGGGGCTGGTTTCCGGAGGACTTGTGGTTTGTTTGAGGATTGAGCTGAGGGAAGCGTGTTTGATGCGCGGTACGGTAAACTGGGCATGGAGTGTGTGGAAGCGTTTGATCCGCTGCGTCGAAGATCGCTGAGCGAGTCTCGCGCACCGTCTGAGCCAAGTATTTGATTGGCATGGCCTGGGTACAACGGCGCAATCATCTTGCGGGCTGCTGGCTTCTGCGTTGGCGGTAAACTTGCCGAGTAACCGTCAAAATCAACTGTGCGTGATCTTTGTGAGCCGCGTGCTGGTGGTGGCTCAGGTCTGCGACTGTTCGGCATGTGCTTGACATCTACCCATTCTGGTTCTGGGCTAGGCGTGAATGGGTTGCTCGGTCGGTTTGGATTTGGGAAGTGATTGTTAGATGGCGGTTCTACGCGTGCCTTTGCCGGTAAACCTATGGAAAATGAGCATCCAAGCTATAGCAGGAATTAAGATAGGAATACCGTTGTCAAGCCACCACTTCCTCCGGTCTGAGCTTGCAGGTGGCAGCCCTGGCTCAATACTATCATACCCTAAGAGATCTTCGTCGTCCGTTTCGTCTTCGCCTAAACGTCCTGCTGCATGAGTATCGCCCACAACTTCTCTTCTTTGTCGATACAAAGCCGCCTTCACAACATCCTTCTTCTTTTCGTCGATTCGCTGTACCAATAACTGAAAGGTGGCGTAGACTGGACGGTGGTCGGAGAAACGAAGTGGGGCATCATTGTAATGTATCTGCCGAATGTTGTCACCCTTGCGAAGCACACGGTCGCACCAGGCGGGAATGCGTGCTTTCTCCGACGTATCGTATTGATTACTGTTAAGATCATACTTGTACGTTGGTGGGAAAGTTATGCGAGCCTCGGAATAATATGGGAAGGTTAAGCCGGCGACCATCTGGAGATTGAGCTGCAGAACGTTAGCTATGATTCTTGCGAACAAAGTGTGAGTGCCTACCTGATCGTTGTCATACAGGGTTTCAAGATCACCAACATGACATAACCTTTGAACTTTTTCGTTGCTCAGACCAATTCGGTAATTGAAATCGCCGAGCCATATCACAGTATCGTGGTCTTCGATTGACCGATTTCTCTGGAAGCGTAGACCATGGCTGATAGTCTTGTAATCACGATTACGCTCTTCGTAGTTGGCAAACCCAGCTGCAAGATGTGCTGTAACCAGACAGACCGAAGTGTTGGCGTACTCGAATCGAATAGCTACGGCTCCTTTGTTGCCAGCCATACCTGACATGCCAGTCTGGGATGCCAATTAGCCCAATACGTGGAAGAGCGAAACATGCTAACATACCTTCTTGAGAGCGCCCTCAACATTCTTGATATGCTTTAGGCAGTCTGACCGGACAAAGACCGACAAACTCGCACCTACTAGTTGACCACCTCTGAGAATGACATATTCATCTTTTCTATGCTTCTCAGCGTTGTTGTTCAAACACGCCCTAACGGCTTCCTCCCAAGCTTCGCGTCTATCTGGGTCCGTCGACATGATTTGCTGAGGGCTCAGTTCAACAATCTCTTGAAACCCTACAGCTACTATCTCGGGGCACTGCTGTGACGGATCGACGTCTGGGCATAGCCATGGCGAAAGATCGCTTTTGATGCCACTTGTCTTTCCGTTCAAGTTGAACGTACCGACAAGGATATTGATCATCTCGGTCTCTGAATACTCTGCGGACCGTCGCGCCAGCTCCGCAACCACGAAGTCGTTGAGGGGATCGTACAGATGCACTGGAACCTGGCCAATCAGTCTACCAAGTAACATATCGATCGTGTTCTGTCGCCCTTTGTCCGCGAAGTTGTTAATGTACATTCGAGTGGCGCTCTTACGAGCGTCTGCCAGAGCACCAGCAAGCGACATCTTTCCCGATCGCGTAAACGAGGACTTCAACGCTCCTGTACCTGCATAGATTTTCGAAAGAGCGTCACCACAGTCTGCCCACATACTTGAATGTCTGACCCAGAAGTCCTGGCTAGCTCGAAGGCCCTTGTGACTTAAGAAGATCTCCAACGCCATCTTGCTAATAATGGTTTGGACAAGATTCGTCCGGTCGAGGCAATCCAGGCAGTTTGTTCTGAAGACACCCTCCTGTTGTAATATGCTCATTGTCCGGCGGACAGCGTAGTTTTCTCCATTGTGTCTTGTGACTTCATCCACCTCTTCCGAGAGATAATATCCAAATCCTTCGGCAGAATCTTGGATCCATTGAGCAATCATACTAGCCATCTCATAGCCACCTGGTCCCCGTGTCTCAGCATGGAAATCGTATTCCGTGAGCTTGATGAGATCGTGCTGTTGGTCATTGATGTCGCTTCCTTGATTCAAAGGGCTGTTTCTGATGTGGCCGCGATATCTATGCGTCAACTCTAGTTCATTCTGCTTTTCGTTGCTCAGAAGATTGACGACATGAACCGTGCCATAGCTGAGCTCTAGATTGTCGAAGTGCTTGTCGAAGGCCGGCTGCGTGGCCTCTGGCGACCGAGTGATGGTGATCTTCTGCTGCCCTGGAAGCAAACCAGCCTGCTGTTCCCAGAATATGGGTACACTTCCTCGCACCTGCACGTAGGAGAAGCAGGCCCCGGACGGCGCCCAATAGATTGTCTCGCTTTCAACAAAGTTTGCGACGTTCCCGTCATCGTCGATACCTCGCGAATTGAACCTCGTTCCTGCCCTCTTGCACGACAATCTGGAGATCAGTGTCATGGAAGACGGCATGCCCGAGTCTTGTACCCTAATGGGAGCAGAGGATTTGGGGATTGTAATCGTAAGGGCGAAACCCCGGATCGCAGACGTCAGGATCCCCGAAGCATCCAGAGCCTCCTTCTCCTTGGGCGCAAGGCGACTTCTGAAGTCGACCAGCGGCTGGATCATGTAGGAGTTCCACAGAAAGCCAGCGTCTAGACTATCGATGGAAACGGTCGCGGCGTCGGTTGTACGGTCTTGCAATCTTCGGGTGAGGTCGAAGTCTGAGCTGTAGTAAAAGGTTCCGCTGCTGAGTATCTTCTTGAGCGCCAGACACGGGTGTTCCATGGGCGACTGCTCTTTCCTGCCGCCGAAGCCCATTTCGTATCCTTCGTCGTCGATGGTATCGGTAGGGTAGGGATTGACTTCGTCGTTGAGCAGGGTATCGTAGCTCGTGCTGGTCAAGCAGTAGAAGCCGACCGAGTATATCCTCTGCACCGTCTCGCCAGGCCGTACCGTGGCCACCTTGCTCGCGCCATTGACGACGACCAGGAACACGTCGCTGTTTACAGTGATCAGGCCCAATGTGCCGTGTACTTGGACTGAGTGTAGCGCCCGGTAGTCATCTAGGTCGATCTCCTCCAGCCGGGTGAATTCGACCATGCAGCGCGCGGCGCCGGCGCCATTGCTCCCCAGCGACGTCGACGAGGCATTGATGTTGCTACTCTGTTCGGTGGTGGATGTGCTGTGTCGGAGGACGAGTGCATGGGTCGAGGTAGCGAGGGCGATTGCGCGGTGTGGGTAGTCTTTGATTAGGACGCGGATAGACATGGTCGGCGGTAGAGAGCGGCGGAAGAGGGTTGCACGGGTGTTCCGATCATGTCCCGGGGCTTGCCATGGGCTAGAGCAGTCAAAGCGTTTGCGCGAGGTATGGCGGGCGCGGTATGTAAGCACGTGTGTGCCTTGGTGGTTGTTCTCAGCTTGCAGAATAATGCTGGCCTGGATCAATGCTGATCACAACCCAGCATGTGAACCACTCGACTGGTGCCCGACCCTACACAAGGCTTCCCTGACCACCGCTTACACCGGCAGCCGGAACTCATCCTTCGGGCTGCTAAACATGTGGACCTTATTCTCGACATCTCGGCAAGTGCGGCGCGGACGTGTACGCTGTTGCTCAACATCACGAATGACCTCATAGCCACCGAGCATTTGGCCAGCGGAATGCGAAATGCTAGATTAGATGTGGAAATAAAAAACTATAGGTGACCGCACCACAGCTATGGACAGATGCTACAAATCCCTCGAGATTAAAGTGAAAACACGAGACCAACCGTACGCCATCAGAATAACAGTCCCTGCAAACATGACACATTTCTCTACTCGTATGCAGACGGTCACCGCCTGCTGTACGCAACCCTGGTATTAGTCTCTTCGTAGCCGCCACGGCTGCGACTGCGTTGTCTGCTCCTGTCCCGCCTTTGGTATCTCTCGTAGTGATCGCTCTCGCTCGATGCAGGCTCCACATATCTGTAGTGCTCGTAGCGAGGGTTCTCCGGACTGTAGTTGCGCTCGCGTTCGCGCCTAACCTCACGCTCAGTGTACACATATTCGCTGCGGCCAGGGCTAGAGGAGCGAGAGCTCATGCTGGACCGTGGAGAAACTTCGACATAGTGTGCGCCGCCATGGTGAGAATGGGCCTGGGTATGGTGAGACGAGATGTGGCTAGGCGGTGGAGGTGGAGCCGGCATGGGCGCCGGGGGTGGTGGAGGCTGTACAAACACAGGCACAGGCTGTGGTGCGGGGATCTGGAGAGGCTTGGGTGAGGGCACCGCAACGTAGGATGCTGAAGGCCTAGGAGAAGAGTCGTGCACTATTTCGGTGCGCGAATAACGGCGCTCAATGTCGCGCGATTGACGTGAGGCGCGGCGACGGGGCGGAGAGCGGTTCCGCTGGACGACGCGGTACGGGACTACATGGTCCTCTTCCTGCTTGACTTTGACGAGACACATGGCGCCTTCACTCCCGGTATGAGACGCGGTAATGGCGAAGCCTCAAAAAGTGGGAAGCTTCGATTGCGATCGCGATGTGATTCGTGGGACGATCAACGTGGGGTTGGATCGAGGGCGGGACGAAGCGCACCACGAGGGAGTACAAGAGGCTTCGCAACCGCAAGAGGGGCAAGAGCGAAGAGTAGATGGGCGGAAAGTGAGCGGCACCCAAGGAAGCCAACAGAGAGCATGTATATATTCCAGAGATCGGGCAGCCGATGCCCAGCCACACAGCTGACCCCCATGTCGATTCTATGCTGCTCCGCCTTGGAACTCAACATGCGAGTGTGACGATGGGGTCTGGGCTTTTCTGACAGCTGAGTACTAGCGTGCCGGTACCCTGGTTAGCCTCAGGTACGAGCCGCCATTGTCAACAAGCAGAGTAGCGTGAACAAACATCAGATTTCAATTGCCGTCTGCACTCGTAGTTATCATGCTGCATTCCACATACCACCATTAGGCATGCCGTCAAATCATTGGTCCCAGACTATGTATATAGCGTTCAAATACGCTATTCACTCCTCCACAGGTGCAGTACGACTGCCCGTCCTGCTACTCTCTTTCAGGGTCAGCCCTTGGCCAATTTCCCAGTACGTTACTTTCCAGTATACATGGGACTCTCTGGGCGGGGCGGGCGGTGTAGGCTGCCTTCTTTCACTTCCCGAAGGAAAATGCTTGCTGAAGTCTGAACCATGTCTACCACTAATCATCCATGGGCTTGTCTTCCAGCGTAACACCTCGTGGTGCTGTAGGTGTGTCTTCTAGCGTAACGCCTCTTGGTGCTGTGTCATCACTCCTCAAGCTACCGGTAGAGTCCCGGTTGCCCCTTGTCAAGCTGCCTGCATGCTTCCGTGGGAAAGGCACTCGCGTGCTTGATGGCGCTGGGTGCTCAACAGGGGCAGCAGCGGGAGCAGGAGCAGCCTCTGTTGTACCGTTCGTAGTTACAGGAGTTGTCTCGTGGGTGGGGCTATCATCACTTCCGGGTACTTCAAGCGAACCACGGTTTGTTCCGTTACTCCTCCGAGTCTCGGTGGGCGAGGATGTGTTCACAGGGAATCGAGTTTGACTTCTGTCACGGCGATGCGACCCAGAGATGCGTGAGCCAGGTGCTGGCGATGTTGCCCGTGGAGAACGCTGAGCCGCAATGGCACGCTGGCGCTCCTCCATGTTTGCTCGTCGGTTACTCTCATCTGTGGATATCGCGCGTGGACGCTGTGCGCCTGAAGATGAGTGAGTGAGCGTGCTTGCGCGCTTCAACTCCCCGAAAATCGCATCCTTGTGTGCGAAAAGGTCGCGGACGAGACGGTAGCTATAGCGCTCGTTCATTGTCAAACTCGATTCTTGCCTTGGCCTTAGAATGCATGGCGCAAGTGCATTGGCCAATGCTGCAACATAAGTCTCATCGGCAGAAGTCAGCTCAATGAGACGAGTGAAATGGGTACAGATGGCATCGAGCGTTGCGATGTTCGCGAGACGTAATTGGCCAAGAGTAGATTGAAGAACAGAGACCCGAGTCTCTTCGGACACATCTGTGGCAGTAGTGCTGTAGATAGTCTTGACAATCTCGTAAACGTGAGAAGAAACCAGTGAGTCTGATATGGTTAGCTAGCGAGTCAACAATTGAGGTTTGATACATACCAGGAAGTTCCAGAAGATAAAGCTTAAGGACACTAGCGACGATCGGTACATCATACTTCTCAAGCAGTTCGTCCGGGAATCTCTTGCCGGTGTTAATTTCAGCCCGGAGGTTGTGGGTCTGCGACAGAGGAACGTCAACAAGCCAGATGCCACGGCGGGCTTCGTCGCCTTCCAAGTCGGGATAATGGTTGTCCAGGAATGTGAGGACTGTTGTGATGAGCACCGGAACACGCTTCTTGTCTGAACGAGCCCGAGCCTCCAAGTCTACACCGAACGTTTGCTCGTCTACCGAGTTGTAGTAGTTCTCATAGGTCGTGACTCTAGGCACGAATGGTCCAGTCCTGTAGTTCTCGAGCATGTATCGGAGGTCGCCCAGGGGCTGGACTGTCTCCTGGAACAGCATCATCTTATCGACAGTGCTCTGAAGACTAGGAATGACGTTGCTAACGGCGCCGGAGAAATCCAAGATGACCGCCTTGATAGCCTTCAGCCTGTCTAGTTCACAACGTTCCATGAATTTGAGGTGATCAACCATAGCCTCTTCCAGGTTGCAGCGCAGCGAGTCAAGCTTCTTGACGGAGGCCTTGTATCGCTCGTCAGACTCGTGAGCTTCCCGTCGAAGCCTCTCTGCCGGTGTCTCGTTCGGGTACTGGTTGTTGAGTGGGTTCCATCCCTGGAGATACTCCTGAACAGTCGAGACGGGCGAGTCAACGGCGATGCTGTCTGCCGATGAAGTTGACATGGCGGTGGAAGAACGTGCCAGGGGCTGCTTCTTTTCAGGCAGTCCGGTAACTTGGAACGTCTTGGGCTTCCACTGGTAGTTCATTCGGGAGCTGTTTGCGAAAGTGTTGCCAACATTGCCGACCAAGCGCAGGAAGCCATGTGCTACGAGATCCTGACCAATGCGCTCCGCATAGCTCACGGTGGTTGCTGCCATGTGCTTTTGGATGTACTCAGTGATATCGGCACCGCTTGAGCAGTTCTGGTAGGTACCAAGGATGGGAACCTTGACCTCTGCGATCTTGATGTTGTCCAGCATGTGGGTGAGGATCTTCTTGACCTGGTCTGGCTGGTAGGTCTCGTCGCCAAGGTCGATAGGCTCTTCTTCCTCGTTCTCTGGCTCGGACATCTTGATGGTGGGCACCTTCATCTTGGGGCTCTGTGCGGCCTCGCTCTGGGGGTCCTGGAATGCCAGCTTGTCCTCCTCTTCCAAGTCCTCGACGAGCCGGCACTTGTTGTAGTATTGCGATCGGTACTTGCGGACAGCATCGGCTTGTCGGTCGTGGATCTTGATGCGCGATTGAAGGTCATCCTGGGAGTTTTGCACGCGGGCGGCATGCGCCTCGCACCAGCGGCCGAAGGGGTTGACTACCAGCTCTCGAATGTTGGATGCGATCTTCTTGTGGTTTGCGGCCGCTGCTTCCATCTCGGTGCGCACACCTTCGTAGGCCTGTTACCAGTTAGCGTGGAGCGGTGGCCGTGTCTCGTGGGGACGCACCTTGCGCACGCTTGCGCCCTCATCTCTGCTGAAGCCCCCGCCTATGCGATCGGTGGCTGGTGTAATGGCGGACAGACTGCTTCCATAGGCCTCCTCGGCATCAGCTCGCATGCGGGCCACAGTCAGAATCTGCTGGTTTTCCTGGACTCCCTGCTGCAGCTTCCCAAAAAGAACGCCCAGGCCTGGGAGAGTCAGCCAAAGTGGGGTGGTGTTGTGTGCGGCTGCAGCTCTTACCTCCGGCATAGTCGCTCGACCAGAAGGACGCCGCGAATCCGGTCGTCATGGTGCCGTGTGTTTGCAGAGTTGCCCAAGGAGCGGCGAATGTGGGGTATCAAAAAGAAACAACGAAGTTGGGTACGGGTATGGTCGTTCAACGGCCGTAGTGAGCGCGCGGAGAAGATAAGTCTGGGGAACACGCAAGCGCAGGCCCAGTGACAGACGGAGCGGCCTGTGTGACGTCGCACCAGCGAAGAGGGGACTCGGGGTGACTTGACGGTGCAGGTGGCGTCTGGGGAATTGGAGATAAGTCGAGTAGGGCGAGACTGAGGCACGTCAGGAGGGTGTTGCAGACCGCAGCTGGGTCAGAACTGGCAGAGCTGAATGATGTCTCATGTACCCCTGCATGTGGCCGTTTGTCGTGACAGCCCTGGCACCTTTAGGCAAGCCTACCAATCTTGCGAGCTTCCGACATTTCGCCTTTAGCGGTCGATATAAATACCAACGTAATTCACCGACCCCCAAGCGCGGCCCCTGCATACGAAGTAGACTAGAGCTAGAGCCACGCGCCTGCTACCGTCTACTGTATGCATCATCACCGTGCTAATGCTGTCGCGCCGCCAAAGTGACAAGACCACCGACTGCACTCCCCATTACATACACAGGCAGAACGCTGCGGAGCGCCGTCATCACTGCCCGACCACCCCTGCACGTGCTCGTAGCCCTGGGTTCCTAAAGTTTCGGGTGCAGGTGCATTCAGGAGACACTCCAAAGTCTGTTCGGCGTGGAGCCTGCCTCTGTTAACCATTCATCCGTCTTACTGTACGCATACGTCGCCTTGGCCCTCCAGGTCAGCCCCGCCATCAAAATCCAAGCTTCGCAGGGGAACCGAGATCTCGCTCGGTAAACGCTCCCGGGTCCACGCAGCACGCTTCCCTTTCCATCATGGCTCCAGCTGCGTTTGATGCCAACACACAACTCAACTATGCTCGTCACATCAAGTACTGGCGGCGCAACTTGAAGACGCTGCTGCCGCACTTCTACACCAGCAATGACTCCAACCGCATGCTTTTGGCCCTTTTCACTGTGTCTGCCCTCGACATTTTGGGAGATTTAGACGCCGCTTTGTCAGCTGAGGAGCGGCAAGGTCACATTGATTGGGTCTACAGTTGCCAGCTGTCTGAAGGAGGATTCCGCCCATGGCCAGGCTCCAACTACGGCCCTCTCAGAAATGAAGAGAACAAAAACTGGGATCCTGCCCACATCCCTGGAACTTTCTTTGCCCTCCTCACGCTGGTCGTGCTGGGCGACGATCTGGAGAAAGTGAAGAGAAAGGAGATCCTGACATGGCTGGTCAAGATGCAACGACCAGAAGGCAGCTTTGGAGAGACTCTAGGCGACGGCGACTTTGTTCATGGCGGAAACGACTCTAGGTTCGGCTACATGGCAACAGCCATCCGGTGGATACTTCGAGGCGACTTAGAGGGTCCTTGCGAAGGTGTACCGGACATCGATGTTGACAAGTTTGTCAACTGTGTTCGACAAGCAGAGTGCTACGATGGAGGCATATCAGAAGCACCCTTCCATGAGGCACACGCTGGCTTCACCTGCTGCGCCATCGCTGCTTTGCATTTTGTGGGTCGTCTGCCGTTACCACCATCCCAAAAACCGGACGGTCTCATCCGTGGAGTGACCGACGTCCCTAAAACCCTGCACTGGCTCGTCTCACGGCAGACTTTGACGCTAGACGAGGACGATGGTTTAGATACTTTGAACGACGAGACAGATACATCAGAAACGTGTCATGACGCGCATACTTTTGTCAAATTGAGCTCCCGCCCGTCTGCACAAGCAAAATCAAATCTGAAAGGACGACCCCACATTCATTTTGAATTGGAGTGGGTGGGAGTGAATGGTAGATGCAACAAGGTAGCAGATACATGCTACGCCTACTGGACCTCGACGCCCCTACAACTTCTTGGTCATTTGGATATCATCGATCGGCAACCCATCAGAAAATGGTTGTTGGACAAAACGCAGCATCTCGTTGGGGGTTTTGGCAAGGTCACAGGAGATCCACCGGACATGTATCACTCTTTCCTGGGCCTCATGGTCTTGGCTATGTTTGGAGAGACTGGTCTTCAGGACGTTGACTCAGCGCTATGTATAACACACAAGGCAAAGAGACATCTGGAGTCGCTGTCGTGGAGGAGGAAGATCCTCGGCATGGACAGCCCGTATAATGGCACCCAAGCTCCGTCATAAGAGAGCATAGGCCTAACCGGCGATAAGACGTAGATAGATGTATAGATTGGTGGACGTTGTAACGAGTAGCGCACATCGCTGTTGAATATTGTACTAAACCTTACCGATCTTTATGATCCTTGAGACCATGATTTGCACTCCCTAGTCTCTTGGGAATGTAATTAGACATTAAGATCATGTCTTGATGTATCACAATCTTTGGTCCATGGTAATCCCTACACGGTGTAGCGCCAAAGCACCTCGGCCCCACCTAAATTCCCAAGATCCCTGCTCGCCCAGGTAATTTTCCTGAACTCCAACATCTGCTTTGCGAACATCTAGCAACAGCACCAGCCATACCACACCCCGCCCTACACTCAACACTACACTCTGCACACCCTGTAACTATGAGGAATTCGGCGCCACCATCAAAGAAACGCAAAATTGCGGTCACAGCCCCCGAAAAGATCGAGTTTGACTTCTCGGCGCGCGAAGAATATCTCACAGGCTTCCACAAGCGCAAACTTGCACGGATAAAGCATGCACAAGAGGAGAATGCCAAGAGGGAGAAAGAGGAAAAGCTGAGGTTCAGGCGTGAGGTACGCGAAGCTCCGATTCCATCTTCACCCAAAGTTACCGGATAGCAAGATCCATGCTATGGCATGCGCATACGTCCTAGACATTCATTCAATATTGAAGCTAACAAAAAGTTGAACTACAGCTCCGAGAACAGCGCAAAGTTGACCTAGAGAAACACGTCGAAGAAGTAAACCGACTCGTCAAACAAGCAAATGGGGATCTGGACGACATCATTGCGGGCGAGACATCCGGCGAGGACGATGACGAGGAAGAATTCACAGGCTTCCAAGAACCCGAACCCATCAACCAGGAAGACGAGTACGTCGACGAAGACAAATACACAACCGTCACCATAGAAAGCGTAGGAATATCTAAAGCAGGCTTCTCGAGACCAGGAGAGGAGGACGAAGAGGCGGCGGCGAAGAGAAAGGCAGAAGAGGAAAGGAAAAAGGCGGAGGAGGAGGCAGCGAGCAAGAAAAAGGTATGGACAAAGGCGTGGCCGAAGAATAGCGAGAGGCCAAAGAAGAAGAAGAAGAAGTTTAGGTATGAGACCAAGACGGAGAGAAAGGCTGAGCGCATGAAGCAAGGCTTGAAGAAGAGGAAGCAGAAGGAGGCTAGGACGGCGAAGTAAATGGGCGGGGAATGCTTGGGAGTTGTGAAGCTACACAAGTTGAGATAATGATACCCCTTCATGAATGTCACAGCCGACATGGCGCATGCCGGCGCGTTCGTATGTCGTGATGCTGCATTCATCTCAGACAGCCCTATTCCATTATAGCACTGTGGGTCGTTAATGGTACACCGCTTTTTGGTCAAGGTTGTCGAACCTAACAGTCACATGTGAGTAACAGTATAAACCACTTCATGTCAGGAACCGCCAATATATTCGCTCAGGGATTATCTAAAGCGAACAAGCCCGCCCAGCAAGCAGCCGCAGGAAAGAAAACAGATATGTAGGGGTAAGGTAGGGGGTACGGGGGAATGTGATATAAAATCTGCCTCTTCTTCAAGCTCCGCCGCATGCCGCAGTATCATCCTCCACCACTACCATCGCCGTTCATGTTGTCGCACGCACTCGAAATCGGGATCCGCAGAGGGACGATATCGAAGCTCGACTCAGAACTCGACTAAATACAGTCAACAAGCAAAAAAGAGAGACGACAGCGAGATCAGATGTTACCGATCTCCTTGACGAAGTCGTCGAGCTCCTTCTTGGTGTCGGCGTATTTCTTGGCCATCTCTTCGTACTTGGTTTCCCACTGGTCGCGGGACTGCTCGAGGGCTTGTACTTTGCGTTCGTAGTGACCGGACTTGACATCGGTTTGGCGGAGCCTGGGGGGTGACGTGTCAGTGGATGCAGATCAGGGGTAGTGGATAGTGGATAGGAGCAGCGGTAAACGCGGTGAAAGAAGAAAGGGAACGTACTTCTCGTTGAGCTCGCGGATCGTCCTGTCCGATTCCTCAGCTTCTTCCTCGAGAACTTGGATCTTGCGCTGGAGGCTCTCGGCTTGGGTGCCAGCCTGAGCACCTGCACCAGCTTCGTCCTTGTGGATCTTGACTTGCCCCTCAAGCTTCTCAACCTCGCTCTCGAGCACAGAGTTCTTGTGCGTCAGCGAGGTAATCTCCTGCTCCTTCTGTGTGGTCTCGGCTTCGAGGCGCTTGACAGTCGCCTTGAGCTCCTCGGCGCGGGCGCTGCTCTCATCCGCCTCAACGCGGAGAGCTTCCATGCGCTGTACAAAGGGTCAGGTCAGCGTCTACCTTGGTACAGTAGGTGTGCATTGTGGCGTCGGGTACAGCTGGGTACCAAAGAAAGGGGATTTGGCGGGGTATGCGTGGACTCACCTTCTTGATCTGATCCATAGCTGCTGGACGTGTGTAGGGCGGGGTAAAGAAGGGTGTCTGTGGTGTGTTTACAAGTGACGAGAGGCGGACAGCTGCAGGCTATGTAGGGATGTGAAGCGGCGCAGTGTCGAGAGTAGTTGGTGTCTGAGAATTGTCTCCTGCAAGCGGGTGTGCAAGCTGATAATGCGGGCAGGCGCTGCCGAAAGGGACTACCTCCTCCGCCCGGACCCTTTCCAAAGCCCAGACCCTCTTTCCCGCCGCCCTAGCAACCATTGGTAAACACAGGCGCATCGCCGACCCTCATCGCCATTACGAGATAGGAATAACCACGCCGCCCACGACTCGCTCAATGCAACCCCCATAATGACTACGCTCGCAGCAAACGACCAGGAGAACGCCGTCCGCCATCTGCACGCCGCCGCTGCAGGAAAGTCGCTCAATGCCGGCCTCAAGGGCTTCAACGCCAAAACACCCGGAAACAAAGCCCCCAAGACGCCATTCAAGATCCCTCTCAACGACGAAAATGCCGTCGGCAGAGCAGGAAACACCAAGGGCAAGGGCAATGACCTCTTTACCACCAAGACGGGCGGCAAGATAGATGCAAATGCCTTTGTTACGCCAGCCGGTACGACTAGAGACGACAGGCTGCGCAAACCGACAGCTGACGTGTTTAGGTCCACGAACTCGCGCGCCGCTGGGCATGAAGACGACCAACGCCAAGTCTAGGGCCTTCGCAACTCCAGCGCCTCTTTCTTCCGCTGGGAAGACACAGAAACTGAGCCCTCGCATGCGCCGACCCAAAGTCAAGATCCACCAGCCTGAAGTCGCCCAAGAGGACGAAGATGACGTGCCTGAGGTTGAATACATGCCCCCCAAGGAGATTCCGCTCCAAGATGACATGGACGAATTCCTTCCCAAGGACTGGACCTTGCCCAAGATCACCAACCAGGACATGGTCCGCGGTATCTGGCAAGCCTACCACAACCCAATCGAGGACGACGGAAGGACCCGCGAGCAGCGCAAGTTTGAGGAGGAGATACAGCAGGGTCGAAAAAAGCGTGATGAGCAAATGGAGAAGGTGCTCGCTGCCCAGATGGCAAAGGACGATGCTGAGACAAAGGAATACTATGGTATCAAGGAGCCAAAGAAGGAGGCGCCCAAGGCACCCGCTGCGCTCAGGACGAGAACGACTGGACCATCGACTATGCGAGCCAGATCTGCAGCTGCCGCTCTCTCTCCGCCATCGAAGCCCAGCTATGCTGCTCCAACCGCAGCTGCAAAGTCGCGTGTGCCCACTGGACTAGTCGCAAGCCGGAAGGGAGCAAAGACTCCTACCCAGCTCACAGCATCTCGCCAAGCATCCGCTGCAGCAGCTTCCAAGAGCACCATCGGCTACGCTCAAGGCCGCGCCGGACGCGCTGCTCCAGCTGCTCGAAAGCCTCTCTCCAACGTTACCAAGCCAGCTCCTTTCTCCGCTGCTTCCCGACCTGCCTCCTCCACCCACATCCGCAGTGCGAGCACCAAAACGGGTACCATGCGATCTCGTGGTCCCATGTCTCGTTGCAGCTCTACCGCCACCGACGCTACACTCATCACACCTCCAGAGGAGGAGGAGGAGGAGGAGGAGGAGGAGGAGCCGCGCCGCACAGCCGAGGATGTTGAGCGTGAGCTGGAGCTATTGCTTCTCTCCCGCTCAGACGACGAGGACGATGATGCGTGGATGAATAGCTTCAACACCCAACTACATGGTGCGGATCCTCTCGAGGAAGATCATGAGAACTTCCAGCTCCAGCTCCCTGAAGGACTTTAGGTTCTGAAGTGTGGATGAGCTCAAAAGTTCGGCCTGAGCCCTTGAGTCATGTCCGTGGTTGTATTGTATTGGGTTTGGAGTACCGGTATTGGATACCTCTTGTTTATTCGTGAATGATTATCTGGGTCTGCGTGCTATCAGAATCGATTACCATGCGTAATACGTAGTATAACTGTACTTTGTACCGCTACACATATCACTGTCACTACTGCAAATCACTTCTCAAATCACTTGTCGAATCACGTACAACGACATGTCATCAAGGACAGTTGACTAACTGCTTGAAAAAGAGCATTTCATTAAGGCATACCCAACGACTACCAAGGAAGCGACCATGCGTTCCGTCCAACCAACGGTTTGCGCTTGCCTGTATCATGCATAGCATTGCTCTCTGCTCCATTCTTCGTTCATCCAGATCGTTCGTAGCGAAAAACTGCGGAAGACAAGAAAATGGAAAGCCCCTAATATCCACACAGCCCGGGCCGAAAATGCACGCTTCTGGAAATTCCCAGCAGAGAAACACCGTGAATGCGCCATGCTGCTAAAATCAAGAGACACTAATGTGATATGATGAAACGAATTTGAGCGTCGAGGACCGCCGCGTATACGAGTGTTCGTGATATAGTCGTGAAAGAGGACGCAATTTATGGATGCAGTGTGTGGTTGTGTAGATTAGATTTACTTTCTTCATCGTTGCGATGATGCGTGAAGTATTGTGTAGGGAAGTTGGGGTGAACCGCAGTACGCTGTGGACTAGGACTATGTGGAGATGACTTCGTCGACGGCGTACAGATTCTGGTTGAGAATCTTGTTCATGGTGAACATGTGAACGCGGTCCTGTTTGAAGACTGCGCGCATGGCGTCGTCGCATCGAATCTGGCGCTTGTCGGCCGGGTCTTGCAAGTCGCGCTCTTTGACGTACTCCCAAATCTTCTTGACGGTTTGTGGACGCGAGAGCTGTGTTTCGCCTAGGAGTTCAGAAAGGGCTGGGGAAAGAGCCATAGGTTTCTGGACAGTGGTTAGCTCAATTCGAAATGGTGATATATAGTCACGGAGAATAACTTACGTGGAATCCACCTTTCCGGCTTGGGCTCTTCTTCTCGCCCCCACTCCCTGATGCGATGTCGCTGTCATCCTCGTCTTTGATGCGGGTAGAGCTCTTCTTCTTGGTTTTGGTCTTCTTTGGCGCAGGTGCCTTCCGCTTTGTATTCCCACCGCGTGTCGCCCTACCCATGCGCGCGTTCTCCTCAGCCTGTAATCTCGCCGCGAAAGCTGCATCGTCATCCTCGTCTTTGACTTTGGTTTTCTTAACCTTCTTCTTGGGAGGTGCAACATCTTCAACCTCAGAGAGCACTGACTCGTCATCGCGCGGCGATCGCTTGTTGTGGGAGACGTCGGAGGTGTCGTCGTTGGAGGCCTTTGCGCCGTTCTCGACAGTAGGTATGGGTTCAGAAACCTCGGAGCCGCCGTTCTGCTCGTTGTTGAACTTGTCGAAGCGCTGCATAATGAGCGTGGTGATTTGCTCCTAGTTGTTCATGTCAGGTCATGCCGTCGTATGTCATGTCTAGCTTCAAACCTTCTGCTGCGAAAGGTCATCCTCGACTCTTTCCTGAAGACCCTTCCGTATGCGCTTTGCAGAAATGGTGTTGATGTCGCTGGCGCGTAGGATCTCGTCGATGATGACCGAGTAGGAAGCTTGCACTGCGGCGGGGAGGGGCTCTGCCGCGACACGTTAGAATATAAAGATACGCGTAGGAGGCTTCAAGTGAGTACCTACCTGCCATGGCTGCGATGTTTCCTTACTCCACAGCAAGAGCTCCCACAACTAGCGATGGCACGCTAGGGTAATGATCGCTGCGAGGACCACTCTCGAATCCACCAAGTACCGCGGAGCTCAGATCCAGCTCCGACCTCCGTGGTGGCTATGTCGTGCAAACAAACACAAGCTGGTACCAGCGGCTTGGAACCAAAAGTGGGATGTGTGATGCAGACGTAGGTGGTGTATATTAAGTGTCGCGTATGGCGAGCGAGTGGCCAGTCTCTCACTTGGCGACTAGCAATAGTGGTTGCGGTATAACCTTCAAGAGGTGAGAGACAGCCAGCGAAGGTGCAGCCGAGTTGGGTCGGGCGCCTCAAAACGGTAGTTCCGACGTAGCGGGGTCCAGTCAGCGAGAAGCGACGCTAAATTGTGTCGGAAGGGACTCAAAGGTAGAGAAAGATGGCAGGGCAAGTTGGGCGCTGTCGCGGAGATGAACGGGGCAAGAAAACAGGCACTAAGGTTCATGGATGGTTGCAGTATGCGCGACGAGGTGTGAAGTTGAATGCACGGGCGCGGTCTAGCTCCAGGTACGGCGCCGACCATGGAGGCTGGGGAACCACGACCATCTCCGTAGTTCGACCCGACAAGAAAACCGAACAAGCCACTCTTGTCCGTCTTCTCCAAGTCATACAAGCACGCACAAATGTCAAAGCCATGTTTTCTGTTCGTGCATCGCATCGTCTGCACCACCGGCGGGCTGCATACTCGCCGAAAGCGGTAATCTACGTATGCCACTAGTTGGGGATCTAACAGCCTCGTTTTCCAATCGTTCCAGTCGACGTCATTTGGACGATCTTGAACCTCTTCACATGACCAGACACCCCACTCCGTACATCTGCTTCTCCACAGCACTCTTGATCTGGTACCAATCCGCTCTTCGTTCTGCAAACTCGTATACTTCCTCTGCTCGAAATATCCCATGATATCGATCCGTGTCTGCGATAATCGTAGCAATCTCCTTAGCTTCCTTTGCGTCGATGAGATATATCTGAGAGAGTTCGCGAAGCGCGGCGAAGTATTGCATGAGAGGCTTGTTGCGTAGTGAGACGATGTAAGCATTGTAAGCGTTCATGTCGCTGTCCAAATCGATTAGTGCCTGTAGGTCTTATAGAGTATGTGTCGTACCTGATGAGTTTGATAGCCCCATCCACACTAACTCTCTGGCGTTTCAAGTGCTTGCAGAGAGCAGTGAACAAGCGCACACCCACTTCTTGATTGAAAACATCCAGGACATTCTTGTCCGTGCTACCGATGAGCATGTTTGTATGTGACGACACCACCTCCACAATCTTTGTAGCCGTCTGGCTAGGTCCGATATCAGACATCTGAACCTGGCCATTGGGTCCAACAGGGGGATTGAAGTCGGACGGGTGTTGAGTAGTACCACAGAGATACTCCACTTCGTCCATTAGCACATCAATACCCTTGTTGAGACCTGCAGCAACCCGTTCATCCAACATGGCTTCGAACCGCTTTTTCTCCTTGGCAGCAAGACTGAGGAAGTCGTCGCGGTCCGTGAGGTTAGCTGCGACAAGCTCCTGGAGGTAGAATACTTCTACCATCTGCTGGATCAAGTCGCCAACGTTGACAAGCTCCAAGAAGGCTACTAGCGGTGCAACACCCTCTTTACTATGATCCGCTACCTCTCGCGGCTTGTAGTCAGCTAAATGGCTGACAGCCTTATCAAAGCCCAATTTCATATGACGGTTGCCCAGGATCTGGACAAGGTTGATGAAGATCTGCTCAGATTGCTCCTTTGCCTCTTCACCAGACTGACCACCAAGTCTCACAAATCGTGCAGCTCGTTCCAATCCAGACTTAGCCATGTGTGTCAGATTCAGAGCCACCTCAATGCTAAAAAGCGATCGGATGCCTTCCAGCCGAGAATTCATGATTGCTGCTTTGGCGGCAAGCTCGGTCGTCGGAGCTTCGATTCGCGGTGTAGGCGACCGATCGCCCGGAGCTGGGGTACCAATCCTTGAGGTCGGCTCCAGAGTAGTACTGCCATTCACTCCAGACATGTTTTCGGGGGGCTTGCTAGCACTCGACCCGCCAATAGTGGGGAGTACATTGACAGGCATCATGACCACCTTCTTGAATGACGACAAAAAGTCCTGTTTGACAGCTTTCCGGTTGACGTTCGCCATATACAGAGTTTCCGTGCTTTGCTCTTCCTCCATCAGCCGCTTCTCCCAAAGGTCGACCTCTGCAGCCGATTTTCGTTTAAAATAATCTAGTTCCTCCTGTAGATAAAGGTCGATGTGCTGCTCGAAGCAACGAGACACAATGCGCATTGCCTCTTCCCCAAAATCTGGCTTGGATGCTTTGGTAGGATGCAAGGAAACTGCTAGTTGCAATGCTTGCTCATAAACCCCCGCAACCGCTTTGAGATACGCTTCAATGCTTATATCGTGAGCCTCGTCGAACAAAGTTGTGATGTATTCGGCAATGACATCGTCCGTAACACGCTCGAAAAAGGTTTGCAGTACGTCGACCGCAGGAGGGAAGACACGGTCGATGATGCCCGCTTCTTCGTTGAGTGCACTCGCCAATCCTCTGAAGAATTCATGAGATGGTTCCAGTGTTAAAACCTCGTTGCGGAGGCAATCTGCAGGGTCACCGAGCTTCTCCTTTTCCAACATCAATGGGTGGTTGTGAATAAAAGAGTCTAAACATGCCGCGCCTCCGTTCAGAGCCACCAACACTGTAGCAAATCTCTTCATACGTCCATCGAAGTCTTTCTCTGCATAGCCTTGCTCGAATTCTCTGAGCACAGCGTTTTCAAAAATGCCAGTCATGGTGTCTAGCTTCTCCTCCCGCTGACTCCAACCTTGTGCGTAATCGCTCTTTGCAAAAATCTTGAGCTGCGCCAGCATTTGAGCCTGTTGTTCGGGATCGCGATAAGCCCGAAAGAGTACAGGATCCGTGTGGCTTCTTGACCGCTCCAAGTCATAATAAAATGGGGCCAGTGCGCCGTAGACCTTCCCATACTCTTGTCGTGCCATGCCTCTAATAGAACGCACATTTGACAGAATTTTTACAGCCGCCTGCGGGTCCACAGTGTACGAGCTTGGGGCCAACGTTCCGGAAGATGACAGGGTCATGTCATTGAAGCCCTTGTCCAATGTAGTAGATCGTGGTCTATTTCTGTGTTCTTGCGACTTCCGCAGCATGTCCTCCTCTATTGTGGCATCAAAAAGCGTCATGCTTGTCTTTCCGGGTATACCGTCACCTGGGGGCATCCCGTTGGTGCTACCGTTGAGCGCAACGCCAGATCTACGGGCCTCCTCTGCTCTTTGTGCCTCTAGTTTCTTGCGCATCGATTCATCAAATCTACGCTTTGCTTCGGCCTCATTCCAGCAGCCCATGCTTCTAAGTCTTTGTATCCACCTGGTGTCATCGTACACCATCTCGCGCATGCGTCTCGAGGTGCGTGCGAAACTGAACATATCGGCGACAGGTAGGTAATCGAGGATGGCATTGATGAGCTCTGTGCTATCCAGTCAGACACACGATACCATACAGCACTGAGTTCATACCGGCTGGTAGTACAGCTTTTGAATCGTCGTTGACCAACTGCGTGGTTCTTAAAGACGCGAGGACGGACTGCTGCGTCTGGGGCACAGCCCGCTTGAAGTTGGACTTGGTTGTCATGGTTTGGATATTACGGTAACGACTGTGTTGGTTGTGTACGAATGAGTGTATTTCCCATCATCGGGGTTCAGTGATGCTTCGCGTGGTTGCTGCGGGGCGAGGGCTATTCGAAGGGTGGAGCAATGACCGCTGGCGTTTGGCGGCAGGGTCTCGTAGATCTAACATGTCGCAGCGATTGATCGCCCGGCAGCTAGAATCTGTCTACAACAACAACATGACGTAAACAAGTCGAAAATGAATCTATTCACTGCAGAGCTCTCAACTCTGCATGTTGAGAAGACCTGGGTGACAGGCATAGTTGCACTTCATGACCTGGAGCATGGGCGCGCACGCGATCTCGAACCGGAGCGCAAAACAACACGTTGAAGGCATGGAAGAGACTAGGAGTCGGCTGCAGCCACCACCGCAGTAAGACCTGAGGATACATAATTCTATGGAGATGGTCTGATAGGCAAGCAAAGCCGTCGAGATGGAGCTTCTCCTGAGGCGAGGCTCAGTGCACATGTGCAGTCAGCGGTTGTGTCAACCTGAACTGTGTATGCTTTGAACAGTACTATGTCTCGTCGTATGTATGGTGGCCGTGCGCGTATAGGATGAGTTGCGCGATTTACGAGATGGGTGTCTCCGCGAATAGACATCAAGCTCTCTAATGTTTAACACTCAACATGCCTGGCTACAAGCGCAACGCAAACCATGAGTTACAGCCAAGCTGGCTGCCTCCTGGTCTGGAATTACTCAAACAGACTCAAAGTCTCCCCAGCCAAGCCTTCCGTAGTTGAGATCGTCGCAGATCTTGTTGCTATTGTAGGACAAGGCGCGCGTGGTACCCGAAAGGTTATAGCCCCTAGGCTTGGAGGACTACCACCACTGCACCGTCCTTTGTGCTCGACTCAGACTTTGTGAGCTCTGGCTGTGCAGCCGAGATGCTGAGTGGCAATCTGGGAGGACCTCGGAGGCTCTGTCCGTAACTTGGTATTACTTGCACGCAGAGGCGAAGAGGTCCTTCAGCAGGCAAAAGACGTCCTGCTCTCAGGGGCACTGCAGGGCGACCTGTAGGGCTTTCCCAGACATATTGCAACAGCAACTGAGTGGTTGAAGACTGTGTGTGCTGATTATTGGTGAAGGGCATCGGGGCGCAGTCGGCCAGTGAGGCAGTCGGGCACATTGGGAGGGCGCGCGACGGTCGCGACCACGGGCGACGCGACGACGCGTAAAGTTCCCTGTCTTGGCCTCGACCACTTGTGCAGTCTGTCATCCGCAAAAGGGATGAAACGGAGACCCTGGCTGGCTGTCTCTTTGGCTGACGAAGGCTCTTGAGACGTCAGTGTGAGCACACTCCAGGTGTGTACCTGCGTCTCCGAATGCGGGCCGACCGATCCAGACCTAGCGCGGACTGGCGGCGTGGCTCGAATGAACGTGACAGCGTGTCTGGGAGCCGCATCCGAGAACCTCGTGATCTTGTGTGGCCAGCGCATGTGGCTCTGGTGGCCCGGGCATGGGCTGAGACGCGGTGACGCGCTGTCCCTATGACGGCATAACGGCTGTTCGGCGAAGCATGCAGAAGGCGTCTAGAAACCGCTTATGAAAGGTTGTGAAGGGTTGGTGCTGGGTTTCGGGCCTCGACGCGCAGGGATGTGGAGAGTGAAGCAGCGAATGGGTTCGGCTTCCGCAGCTTCTAGTCTCCCAGGACCTTCCTCACACACGCGCGACAGCTTATGTTATCAGGCACGGATGCCAGGCTTGTCGACGACTCTTTGAGACACCGGGTCGACGAGGCGGCGGCACGATTGGCTGTTTCACGTGGAATTGTGGGGATGACAGCTCTGTCTTGTTCCATCCCCTTTCAGACGCCGTCCAAGAGTCATCCCAGAGAAGCAATGTGCAATTGCTTCACTTCCAGTTGGTTGTGCTTGCAATACGTACCGAAGGGCCACGTACGGGGACTGGGTGCCCTTCTGGCCCGTCCGTTGCCCCGTGGATCATGGAGGACACGGCCAAGGTAGACGTCAGTATCATGAGTTACTGGAGGACCATGACTTCAGAAGTTAAATATATATGTCCCAGCATTCGGTCCACTGTCACAAGTACTGACACTCCTGTTGCACCGCTACCATACAAAGCCGCGTTTGTGAATCTTAAAGTCTCACACATAGTCTCACTTCTACCCACTCATAAGCACACCTGCACCAACCCGAACACCGCCCCCTACCACAATCAACACTACCACATCAATCCCAATCCCAATCCAAATCCAGCAACATGTTGTTCGCCATCTCCAGACCCAAGATTCCTGGTGAGACCCAGCCTCTTGATGGTGGTCGTAAGTCATTCCCAAAAGTATGGTTATTGAGTTCCTTTGCTAACTGCCACAACAGGCAAGCCGCTACCCCAGTCCGACAGATGAAAGAAAGGCTGCGCCTTCTCAACCAATCAGCCACCACCAACGCCAATCTCCTGCATTTTGGGCACACCATACGTTCTGTTTCGGAAACCGATTTCGCATTCGTCACCACGATCGCAAAAAGCACCTCAGCATGTTGCAGTGCAACAGCGTCGCTTTTGTTTCGCAACCCGGCAGTTGTTCCCCTGGCCCCCGTCTGCCCTGTTAGCCGGTCCGAGATGCACCATCGTCAAGATGCGAGTGCGAGGCGCAGCACCACAGCGTCGACCGATTGGGAGAATGCTGCCACGGGCTGTGTTTACTCCGGTCAATGACAATGGACACAAGAGTCATCAAAAACACGACCTGGGGCCATTACTTATCGATGGGCTCAAACTTGCAAAAAGATGCCTGGAGTGCCTTGAGTGCGCCGTGCCGCGGTGTGGCTCTTCGACTGCGGCTGTGCAAGCACCATGTGCTCGCGAACTTCACCAGCCCAACTAGGCACCAAACATTGGTTCACCATTTACGGACCCCAATGGCCGCTTTTCTGCCTGGAGATTCTGCCCTAGCCCGCAATTCGAGTCCCTCACCGTGGCTCTGCTGCTAATCGGCGGTGACTAAAGGAGTCACCCTCGGGGTGGACAGGGCTGTTAGCCTTCTAGAAGGACGCTAGAACGAATTGCAGCCTGGTTGTCGCCTTGATCGTCAGGACACACCCAATGAGCTATTCGATCTTCTGCTCTCGTGGCGCAGTCATGGTTCTTTTGACATGGAATTGAATCACCGGAGCAGATTAATCTCAACCGTTTCTGCGTCATAGCCTGAAAGAAGGCAGTCATTGCCTGTTCCTGGAAAGAGTTGAGGCTACGACAAGCCTCAGGATGTAGATAGTTATATATTCGAGCACCTAAGGTGTGAAACATCATCAATCACAATCCAATCTTCCAATCTGCCTGCATACCACATCAACCACAGCCCGCAACCTTCAGCAACGCCAATCTATATCTCGACCCAACCGCATATACATCTATTCTACCATCACCATGAGACTTGTACAGAACAACGATCTTGCCTACCTCGAGCCCCAGCCCCGTGACGGTGGAGCGCCAAACCCAAGCGCAAGACTATCTTCCCCAATGATGCTCTTCAAGGCACCAAAAGATGGCAGCCAGCCACGCGATGGCGGCTAAGAGACTTGGAGTTGACTTCAGTGTGTAACCTGTCTCTTGACTTATACCACACTCGATCTAACGTGATCCAGATAATGACTCCAATTCTCCGTTCCACTAGACGACTCGGTTCCATCCCATCATCCTTCTCCAAACTGAATCAGATTGGGTTGATGGACGTCTACGCCAACAACTCCTCTCGGCCTTGGGCACAGCCAACTATCGTTACCGCATATTCTTACCTCTACCTCCACTACTACCTCGAGGCCGACCTGTTACAATACTTCGTACTTTCAGCTGCATTTCAAGCGTTTGAGGCTTTCTTTTTTGTGTACAACAACAGACTGTACAATGGGCATGATAGCGATATCTTTTCTGGGATTCTAGACGGCGTTTTTCTTGAATATGGAGCAATCCTATAGCATTGGCCATCGCTTTGGCGCCTTTCAAGCCTGGCAGATAGGGATTGCGTTGCAGCATTACTGGACTTTGTTCCGTACAACATGTATCATAGAATAGATAATGGGTGGCATAGTAGCGTGGCCTTTACGAATACAAACCACGAAGTTTGAAGAAGCTGAACCATCCAATATGGCGTATCGCGGACGTGATCGTGGTCTTGGAGATGAGTTCAAGTCGATGGGATTGTCGAAGAAGAAGATAGATGGGGCGTTTGCATTCGCGTATCTGCAACTTACCCCACGCTGCCGCCTGCCCTAAGCCTTGGCAAAGATAATGGGATTACATGCGTGGATGCACCTGCATGCTTGCTTCTTCCCCCCATGGGTGCGAGCAAGATACATATGGGCGAATGCGTCGCAAGCAAGCCTCCAGGCAACCTTCAAATCTTCCGATGCGACACCTGACCCCCTCTTCACAGACTTGCAGAATTCGTCGTTGGATTCGAAGATGACGTTCTCCCGCCCATAGTGCTTCGATTTGCGGACCCCGCAGCAGCAACTAGACGTTAGTCACAGAAACCCAAAAACAGAGTCACGCACGCGCACAGCATGGAGTTTTTCACGGCTCAGAAAGCAACGTGCCGCCTAGTCGACCAGAAAGAGCACCGTCGGCGCGTCGTGCCCAGGCGCGAGTAGACTACTGGTGCTTAACCGCGATGGTGTTCGAAGGAACACGATCTGCTGGCGCGCAAAAACGGAGCACAGTCCTTAAAGTCTTGCCCTTGCGCCTGGCTTGCTGCTCGCGGAAGAGCCAAGAGCACGGTCAATATAAGAAGTGTTGTGACTGCCATCGCGTCATCACTTGGGCCTTTGTTCAATCTCCTCCGCCTTGGCCAAGTGAACACCGCGACTTCACCACTGTTTGCGCCGCCGAACACGCTCTTGCAAAAGTAGCCTGCTGTCCTTCGTATTCCCAGAAACCTACCTCAAAGAAGCTCGAGCACCATGACTACTCGGCCAAACGAATACCAGCGCGTTGCGTCGCATGGGCGCGGAGGTGCTGGTGAGTCCCTGCTTTCCTTCACATCTTGAAGCGCAAATCCACAATACCTGGGTCATCAGCTAGGCTTGCACATCTTTGTAGCGCAAATGCGCGTCCAAGAACTACCGCATGTGGTCAGGCAGTCAACATCCCTCATGAAGCGCTCTACAGATATTTGCCAATTTCTGCTTTCGATTGACTACTAACGTACCAAGGCAACATCGCAAAAGACGACCCTACCAATTACCCAAAGCCTGAGGACCTCGTCACCCCAACGCTCAAGTCGGACAAATACACCACCGGCCGAGGTGGGACTGGCAACATGGCGAAGAACGATCCCCAGCACCCTGAACTTGCACGCGCTGCTCAGGACGTCGAAAGTAAACCTCATCCAGAGCCCCAAGGTCCCAAACACTACGGTCGTGGAGGTGCCGCAAACATTATCGGCGACGCACAACCTGCGCAACGAAAGAGTGCCGAGGCTAAGCGCAAGAGCGAGGACTCTAAGCGCGAGGATAACGGAAAGGGCCTGCTCGGCAAGGGCAAAGACTTGTTGAACAAGCTGGGCAAGAAATAGGCCTGATCAGACTCATGGTCGGCGAATGATGCTACATTGTGGAACATGGTTCACACGAGCTGCCCTGGAGCCGCCGACGGGGCTTTCGGTTTCTTTATATGGTTCATGATATCCCAGGAGGTGTAAAGCTTTCTAGTAGGCAGAGGAGTTGGTGGTATATCTTATTATAACGCGGGAAAATGTCCGACTGGCACATGTTAGCCAATCGCTTCATTGTCTTCTTGATGGCTATGCCTGACAGACCGTTTCTTCGATGTGTAAGGCTCTTGTACTGATCTTCTTAGAAAGGCGCTCTTACCCGTGATATCATAGGATGCCAGTTGGGCTTCCATTCAAGCTAAACATGCTGCTGGAACTTCGTGGGTGGCTTAAGTATGCCGCATCATCACATTTCCCGATTACATCACTCTTACAGCATTTCCACCGTCGGCACACCAGAGCTCGTACACTACTACTTGCTTTTCTCACGAAAGCTAGCAATCCCGACAGTTTGTCTTTTCTCAAAAGGGATAATGCTCTGATAGGACAGTGCTGCTTATTATCCACGGAAGGCCCATAAAGGGTCCTCGGCAACAAGCAAGCGTCATGCGGGGGGATTTGCGACATCCACCCACAGCGGGTCCTCGTCCTCCCGTGGTTACATCAAGACCTCGCAAACCCGCGTGTGGCACACGTACAATCTCCAAGTATTCTTCTCAATCATTGTCGTGTAATATCCAGGGAAAAACATCTGAACCCAATTGCCGAGATCAGCATATGCACGTACGAGCCGTCTCTGCAAACGTGGAAACAGAATAACCCACTCCACTCGCGCTCAACTCCGGTTCCCGATGGCTCGGTAAGCTATCAATGCAGTCCGCTGCTCATACATCACCTGTTAGGGTCTTGCCGTTATGGAGGGTCGTCCGATCGCTATGCTGTGGCTGCAGCTAATGCCTCACAGCAGCTCACATGAGGTACGCGCTTTAGCGGGGTGTAAGAAAGTGACGTAGAGCGGCCAGCATACTCTGAACACGAGGAAAGATTGTCGACAAGAATACTCATCATGGAATCTCTGGGATTGTTGTATCATATATGGAAGAGGCAGAAAAACACGCAGCACACAAGCCAGTTCGCATGGCGCATCCTTACTCACCTACCCTCCCGGGGTTTTCTGTATGCATAGCATCGGTACTATGCCAGCTCCAGGCCTTCTTCCGCTTCACACCGTCCATTCGTAGATAAGTGACCCCGGTGAGCGGCAATGGACCTACCTAGCATGCGCTCTTGTCCGAGAGCGTGAGCCTTGGAGTCTTAGGGATGATGACACCCACTCCACCACACCGTATCTGCATAGGTAATGTGGTTCGTTCAGGCTGCGACAATTACGCCTGACTCCACGACGTGGTCTGTCACCATTGGTCTGGGAGAATCTTTGTGCAGCCTTCGCCTTCCAGACCGTTTTCTTTTTGTTAGCTAAACATGTCATTCGGCTCATGGCAGGCTGGGTGTCGGCTTATGTGTTAAAGTTGTGGCACGTCCCGCCTGTGTGGCTTACTGGCCCTATATACTTGCCTGCTTTCTGCAATTCTCTGTTGTTGTGTACAAACTCGACTCTCAGCACTAGTAGAACACCAGATTCGCCATCGCTCAGTAAAACATGTCAACTACTACGACGGAAATGGAGACAGAAACCTACGTGGATACCTGGGTTCACTACCACGATGGCGGTGTCCCTGGTCGAAGACCAGTCCTCAAAGGCATCGATGCCAAAGAAACTTTCAACGAACTACCTAAGATCGACTTTCAACGCATATACTCAGACAACCTTGAGGATAGGAAAGAGCTGGCCAGAGAAGTCGGCGCCGCGTGTCGAGATATTGGATTCTTCTATGCAGTAAATCATGGAGTGGATGATGACATATTGGAGGGCACATTCGATGCATTGAAGGAGTACTTTGCACTACCGACAGACGTCAAGATGGAGACTCACAATCAAAAGACCGAGAAGTTCAGAGGTTACGAAGCTTTTCTCGAAGGAAAGCTTGATCCAAGTACACGAGGAGGTAACGTCTTTAGTGGCCTTATCTAAAACAGCTCGTCTCTCTAACAACAGCATGTAGATCTCAAGGAAGGCTTTCTAATGGGGGAAGACTTTACAGACGAAGAGCAATTATCCCTCGTCTCCTCCTTGCCCCCTTCCCCACAAACCTCACGCAACCAATGGCCCACCCACCCCTCAGCCCTCTTCTGGCGCCCCGCAATCTATCGCTACTACAAAGCCATGTTCGAATTCAGCAAACGCATGCTCCACATCTTTGCACTCGCTCTCGATCTCCCCGAAGACTACTTCGATACCATAACAACGCATCCCATGACCAACGTGCGCGCTGTCCACTACCCACCTCAAGAACGGCAGAGCGACGTAGGCATTGGCGCACATACAGACTTTTGCTGGTTCACACTCGTCTGTCAGTCCAAAACTGCCTACCCGGCCCTCGAAGTGCTGAACGGAAATGGTATCTGGGTCCCCGTACACCCACAGCCCAACACATTTGTTGTCAACATTGCCGATTTCTTGAAGTTAGTCACGGGGGGCTCATGGCAGAGTACTGTGCATAGAGTAAGGAATATCGGTGGCGAGGAGAGATATAGCATGCCTTTCTTTTTTAGTCCGAACGAAGACGCAAAGGTCAGTGTTGTGCCGCATCTGAGGGAAGAGGGTGTACGGTATGATGAATTTGGTGTTGGCGAGTATTTCCAGAAGAGGTTGGATATTGATCGGAGGACCCATTTGGACGGGGATGTTGAGAAGACGGAGAAGAAAGAAGAGAAGAGACCAACGAGGGAGAGGAAGGACAGTGGACTTTAAATATGCGAGCGTCTTTTGGGGGTTGACGAGACAATTTGCAAAGTGTATTTCGGTCTTTAGATATCCATGAACTAGTTATTTGCTTGAGAAATATTACGCTTCGTAAACACACGTAGTCATATTATCAGGCATGTCCATTTCGCCTTTTCG